GCATAATCTAGCAATAGTAATAATAAATCAAAAATCTGGACCAAACCTTTTGCACATTTTTCAAACCCACCAAAATGCGTAACAGTTTGTCGGCGGAATTAGCGCTTGTCTTAATACATTTGGTTCAAATACGTATTGTAAGTATAATTTAATGAAAATAAATAAAGCAAGTTTTAAATTTTAAAACAGGAATAACATTTAGCCTATTATTAAGGAACTACTACTATTATTAAGAATTACTAATATTTTCACATCTCGCATTAACTTCTTTAAGGAAAACAGTTTTTAATTTATTTTTTAGTGTTTGTTTACTTATTCTAGTATTGTCTGCTCTCAGCCAATCGAGATCATTAAAAAGTGTAGGGGGTCAAATAGTTGTTGGTTCTTTTGCCATAGTAATTTTTTACTAGTGGTCGCGCGAGTTTACGCTCTATCACGCTTTTAGTATTATACCTACACACTTGTACTTCGAATGCGTTATAGAGCTGTTCTAGATCCAGCAGGTACTTGACCTTCTCATGTACAGGAAGCACCTTACATGCAACAAAAAGTTTTTCATAATTGTCTTTACAAGCAAGTTTTGTCTGTGATTTAACAAGGTATTTCATAAAACAAATTTGCAACGGTTTTATACTGTTAAGATAAGTTTTTAAATGTACAGCCACACGTAGTTATTTAATCCATAGGTTAGTAATGACTCGGCGAAAGCAAAATAAATGACACGCAACGATTTGGTATTCAACGGCGCCTTCAGGATATAATACTTACTCAACACTGCCCCAAGCTTTGTACACACTGTTTTCCAATTCATATTATGGTCCACACACAGACCTAGATATTTAAATTTAAAGCACGAATGGGTCGACTCGACCGGGGAAGGACCACGCTCTCACAGAATACCAACGTAAAATAGTAGCTTAATGCTGCTGTGTTTTGTATGGTGAGTGTAGAGAACCGGAGACCCTTTTTACTGTAAACGAGGCATTCCATCTTAGTCCTCACGGGTGACAACGCATCTGCATTTTGATTCGTAATCGAGGATAGATGTAGATGTCTACGAGCCACAGCAACCACTTACTATCAGGTGGACTGTGTGCTCGTTTGTCACTGTATCCTACATAAAAAAGCTCTTGACATTTTTTGCCACTAAGTTGTGCGGTGAATACAGATACATCACTTTCGTCTTATGAAGGTTAAGTATGATACCATTATAATGAGCCCACCGGGTAGTATTATCGAAGTCAGCCTGCAGCACAGTCCTGATCTCTTGTATATTCTTAGAGGAGTACATAAGGCACATGTCGGCCGCGTACATATATACTCGACATTTTTAACCACATTACTGACGCTATTGACATGCATAACGTAGCCAACCGGACCATAGGCTGAACCAGTCGGAACACCAAGCTGTACCGCCGCTTCTTTACCAGCAACACCAGAAATGCAGGTCTGTAAGGTTCTGTCACTCAGATAACTCAGAAACCACCTATTTGTGGTGCCCCTGATTCTAAACTCACCCATGGCCTGTAACAGCACCTCATGATCCAAGGTATCGAAGACATTTTTATAGTCTATGAACAGCGCCAAGACCTGATGGCCCTGATCAAGACTACTGTTCTACCTTCGAAAAACCGTGATAATGCTGTTACGGTGCTATGCCTATAACCGTACTGTACATCCGCTAATATGCTATTTTGCTCCGAGAATTCGCTAACCTGGCCGACTACTATCTTCTCAACTATTTTATTAATAGTTAACATACACTGAGTGCGCTCCCTGCTTGTAGATGGACCTAATTATAACTTTTTGAGTGGGCTAGGTCCTTCGATCAAGTAAAAGATAAGACCGGTGAAATCTTATCCTTGATTATTTTTAAGTCTATAACACGAATGCTGTCAGCTGATCGACCGCTTTGCACACTGTCTCACTGGTAGCTAATTTAAAGCGCAACGTTACATCACTTTCTTTAACATATTTACTTCTGTCTAATAATTTAATACTACAATTATGTTTAGCAGCAATAATTTCGTTAGTAAATGTATCTGCAAATTGACTACATATTATACATTGTGTCTTTATCTCCAAAATATCTTTTAACTATATCATCTAGGTATATTTACTTTTTTCCTACCTGTCCAGCTATTTATTTTGTCCCAGATTTTTTTGGGGCTCCATGACACTTCTTTGTTCCTGGGTTCGAATCCGGAAAAGGATGGTCACTAAATGGTTAGGATACTAGGTTGCCCTTCGTATCCGGAGAGAAGGACCCACAAAATGTTTGGCTATAGGATTCCGGGTTTGATTCCCGGAATAATGACACCGAGATTTGTATGCGAGATTAATGATAGGTGTTCTAGATTGAACCAAACGGTGGACTGTATATGCGTAGTTAGTTATAACTAAAACAAAAAGGCGAACGTAGCACGTGGCCGGGTTTGGACAATGCACTTGCTATGACTCAATTTACTCTATTTAGCCGGTGCCTTTATACAGGAACAAAACATGAGCTGCCAGGAAAAAAGACACCATAAAGGACGAAAAATAAACAGCTCATTAATTGTGTGCTCATTTATCGCTGCGCGAGCGTATCCGTATTACTTTGCATCTTTTCCCCTTCCTATGTTACGGCGGACTTTCCGTTGCTACTAAGGGATGTCAATAAAGAGTAACAAAATACATTGCGAAATGTTATTTAAGATACGTAGGTGAAATATCTATTCTACTAGGATCGACTAACCATATTTTCGCACCTATGTGAGTTCTTGCAAGTCGCATGCGTTAGGCATCGGCCTAACGCATGCAACTTGCAAGGCCATTTGTCGGGAATCGCGATGCTTGGCTCGGAAGAAAAAGGTAGATAGTGTAAACAACAAATAAACTAGAAATACGATTCCTAACAGAAATTTAATCGTATTCTACTTACTTAAAATTTTTTTTAGTAAACAAAGTTTTAATTTCAGTGTTTTGTGTTATTATGACTTAAATATTTTAAATACAAAAGACAAGTATAGGTATGTAGATACTTGGAGTGAAGTAAATTTCAACAAGTTTGTAATATAGTTCGTAGGTATACCTATCTAACAATAAAAATTAAATAAATTTACGTTTCATAACTTCCTACTAAAATCCTTCGGTGACTTAAATGATATATCTGAAACATTTTGTTGGTCATCCACGCAACAATTATAGTAGGAACGAGGTTTTGCCATTAAATAAATAAATAAATGTATCAAATAGATTTTTTTTTATAGGATAGGGTGACAAACGAGCACACAGTCCACTTGATGGTAAATGGTTGATGTGGTCCATAGACATCTACATCTATCCTCGATTACGAATCGAATTACAGATGCGTTGTCATCCGTGAGGACTAAGATGGAATGCCTCATTTCCAGTAAAAAGGGTCTCCGGTTCTCTACACTCACCATACGAAACACAGCAGCATTAAGCTACTATTTTACGCTGGTATTCTGTGAGAGCGTGGTCCTTCCCCGGTCGAGCCGACCCATAGGTGCTACCCATACGTGCCATGTAAACGTAGTACACTACATGTAAAGATGGGTAATATACATAATATATATAATTTTTAAATTACATCAAAACGTTTTAACTGTTTTATTCTACAATTATACTAAACACTAAATAAAAACTATTTCAACAATATTTACAAAAAATTATTAACCTAAACAGCGTTATAAAACTTTAACATTCATTCGCCTACAACGCGCTAGCCCCGACTGCGTATTTCACCCTGGATGCGTCGCGATTGTAGGTAATTATTTCACGCAGGTAGCAAGTGACACAGGCCTGGTCGAGGGAAAATTGGAAGAAAAATAATATATAAGAACTTCAATTATCTACCCCGTCTGTGGTGGATAGATGAACACGCGTTTCCAAGTATCCACCCTAGGTTGAATTTTTTAGGATGGATAAACGGGATACCCATCAGGAGATGTTTGTCAGTTACCACGTTGGGCAGACGTGTTGGCACCGCAGCTTTTTTAAGTTATTATTATATATTATATAGTATATATTATATAGGGCAACCCCCCACTAGATGGAGTAACGACCTGGTAAGACATGCAGGAAGTCGATGGATGCAGGTGGCTCAGGACCGTGCTTTGTGACATAACTTGGGGGAGGCCTATGTTCAGCAGTGGACTTGTGAAGGGCTGTAATGATGATGATGATGAAAATATATCCAGCAGACTGATACTGGGCAGTAGTAGACAGACAGAAAACAAATTAACTTTACTCTTAATTATCATCACAGCGGGTGTATCGGCTATCTGCTCATCAGCAGCTATCATGGCGAGTTTGCAAAATTCTTCCCTTTTGAAAAAGCATATTTTAGAATTAAAATGGGTAAATAGTTTTTGGAAATCATTATTAAAAAACATTCAATAAGATTTTTATTTTTACATATTTAAACTTAGTGAGGGTAGGGTTAATTTTAACAAAAAAAAAACTATTGAAAAAAATATACACTTCTTATAACTAAAACTCTTAGCAGACTAAATGCAACTTAAGTAATAGGTCTATACATTTGAGGAAATTAACGTAACAGACTAGTATAATGATCAGCAGGTATAACATACAATTAAAAAAAAACAGGTTTTGTAATAACAATATATGCGATAGAGAAAAAATCGATGTATTATAGTAGAGTAGTAAATTGTCAGAACTAAAATAACACTGTATTTGAAATTTCTTTTAACGTTTTTGTTTAAGTGTAGTTTCTTTTATGAATTTATAAACAACAAATTATATGTCAACGAATGCATCATATTAAATGGAAAAAAAGGGATGGCATAAAACTAAAAATACAAAAAAAGGTTTAACTAGTACAATTTTAAATTTAAACGGAAAAAACTTCCCGTCTTAAGAATTACAACGCAAAACAAACATAACCCTGACTTTTGATGATCAACAATCGTTAATCATCAAATCCATCAGATCGCTAAATCACACATTTTGGACTTTAAATATTACGAATATTTTTACACGGCAGCTTTATAACGAGGAATTATTGCAGAGCTCACTTCACTGAAAACAATTACACAATAATTTAAGTTTTGATAAGGTAGAGTATGCACTACTTCGGTGGGAATGTCTGTGCAATCATTAACAGAGTGAGGATATCAGTTCTGCGCATACCAGTACACTGGCCTAGCGTAGTAAATATTGGCAACTTACACAAGGAACGCAAATTAGATCGTAAAGGCTAGACTAAAAAGCCGATTAATCCGATTACACGTTTACAGATTTTAGGTCCGTGTTATAAAGTACGATTTACGAGGTCATAAAAGAATGGATTGGCGGTTATGCACAGACCGAAGAACTAAGAGCAAAATATAAACCCAATGGAGTGGCAATTTAAAAAGGTAGCGGGTACCTTGTTGAAGAGAACAGTACAACACCGATGAGCATGGCGTCTATTAGAGAGGGCCTATGTCCATTGGTGGACTGAATAGGCACTAAAAATATGAAACGGACATAAACAGATATATTATCCCTTTTTATGATCTTACGGCTGAAATTGATGAGAGATATTTAATCAACCCAAAAGTTATACATACTGATTAACATAAGATAAAATTAAAATTCAAGTTAAATTAAAAAAAATGTTTAAAGCAGTAAAATTTGTGGATTATCAGCATTAAATAATCAAATTCTTAAAGAACAAAGTTCAATTATATTTATTCTTATCAAATGAATATAGGGGTTTTTATGAAGTGTTAAAAAAGTAATACTGAAGTAGACCTGTGAGTCTTGAGTTATATTGTTCAAATAAAAAGACTGTTGAGGAGTTAATAACTTAAAAATCTACTAAACTTTTCATCACTTTTGAAAACACTGGCAACAATTAATTCTTTTTTATTTTAAAAAGAAATTCAAACATAACATTATTAGCATATTTCATCTTACCTTTATAATAGTGTTTTAACAATTATATGTGCTGATTATATACATTTGTACAGGGATTACAAAAATATCAGCTTCTCAATCTGCTTATTACCACAACTTATAAACTACTTTAATAATACGAAGATGATTTTTTTTCCTGCGAAAAACATCTTACATCCTTTATAAACAAGATCTTAGCGGTTCTACTGTTTGAGCGTCCATTTTTTAAATATAAGCAACGCTATGAGTGTGCATAGTATTCACGTTAACCTGTATCCTATTAACAACACAGGACACTTCAATGTCATCATTTTAAAACCAAAATATGTGGGTAGGCAGAGATATTTCCTTACAATTGTTTTTTTTTTGTAATAAAATTGGTTTAAAATAGAAATAACAGGAAACATTATCAAATATCAAGTATTGATCAACCTTTCTTGAATATCAAATATACCAAACGAAGACGAATTTATTAATCATTCGCATATCTACACTTACAACGAAACTTGTTCAGCATATTTTCACTAAATCAGCAATGCAGTTATTATTAAAATTATAGTATCTTATTTCAATAAGTTTATGAGGAACAATCGATCAACTTTTATTATAAAAAAACTATAATGTAATTAATCCCACAGTATGTCACGCAAATATAACAAAACTTAAGATGATAGTACTATGGCAACATATATTACATACATTAGCTTACAAAATGTTTGTCCTATTCTTTCGCTACAAAGAAATAGAATAGTCATTGTACAAAAATAGAAAATATCAAGCAAGTTGTCCACACCATCAGCACCGCGGAAGAGATTTAAGTCGATCTCGTAGTGTGGTCTTTGTAAGGCGATTATGTGAATTGCCGAGCGACTTTTATGGCGTACGATTGATGGCGACAGCAGGCCGTACGTTGACTGGTGAAGAAGCAAATCTCATATCAAGCTACAATTTTTTTGGTTTAATTGTTTATCTATTACAATACTCATTAAGCCATACTAACTTTCGACATATTACAGGAAATCGGGTCCAGATCTTCGTGGGTATTTCTGAAACAAATAGTAATTTTTGTAGTATCACAATTAAAATAGGTGTATAACTTAAATACTTACCCTTTATACGTACCTACCATGTTTTTTTTAATAAATAAGAGAGTGGGGCCTGTCAAATTAGCTGTCCAATACATGGAATAAGTAGCAAACAACGAGTTTCTACCAAATGTAACAAACCCTTAAAAATTTTGCCTGAACATAAAATTTAATTTCAATACAAAAGTGAAGTACAAAAGTACTAAAACATTAGCCGATAGTCAATTTGAATTAAAATATACAATAGACGATACATGCTAAAACAAATAAAACCAAGAAACAAGGGTACATTAAACCAAGAAAGGAGTGAACGCAATCCACATTTATAACCAGATAAAGGGACCAGAAAAATCGATTTCGACGACACATAAATGATTTGATATTCCTCACAAAATGAAACAAGTTACGTATAAATAATCTGCGACATTTTTGATTATAGAATCATTTTTTTTTTTTTCAAATAAAACAGACACTGATCTCCTTATCCTTTCGACTGTCATTTAATTAAAATAACAAGTTGCGTGATGCGATTTGGTTGTAAGGCTTTAACACATTTCCAACAAAAATTAAAAAGAACTAAATTAAAATTTCAATCTTAATTCTTTTAAATAACGATTTTCAATACTGATATAACCACTAAATTGTTTATTAATATTAATTTAAAATTTATTTTCGACCTTCAGGATTGCTTCAATTCCTTATCCTTGTAAAAAATCATTGTTCTAAAATATTTAGACTTAAATATCGTAATGACTACTATGACAAAAATTTGCCCAAACATACAAAAAAAAAAAAAAGCCGAAACCTAAAACGGAAATTTGACTCTTTCCCACACACAATCACCTTTAAACAATCTTAAACAGACCTTTGAATCACTCTTATGATCTACAACAACTTATCCATAGCGATATCACTGTCACAAGACGGCATTAACAATATACGAATTGCTTTTTTTTTCAAAAAGAAACGAATGACTAGATTACCGATATATCATATAACCCCACTTTAAACCTTAATATATTTATTTTTAAGAAACAAAATACTGAAGAGTTAACAAAGAACAAACACGAACTTGTAAGAGACTAGAACTTACTAGACTCCACAGAGTCATTCATTGATAAGAAAAGGCATTAAAAAACCTAAAAATGTTATAAATAACACAAGCAAGCAACAACCAATCTCTACAAAACTGTATGGAATGGGTTATAATAACAATTCGAAATATGCTCAGGGCGTGCCATGTTTCTAAATATTTTGTAAATTAATACACTAAAAAACTACTAGATATCATATTTTGCTGTAAATCCGTCCGACAGACATTTTTTTAAACCAGTGGTAAATAAAAATATACTCCCAATATATTACGTAAATAAATATAAAAATATAATGTATTTATAACTCATATTTGTAGTAAATTGAAAAAAAAAATCAGTTCATTTTTTCATTACTTTGAGATTTCTTTCTTTGGCAATATATCCACTACTGGATATATTTTTTTCCAGAATGTGCCGACCAGCTTGCATAAATAAAAAAATATCACTTCAAAATCAAATGCTGATGGTGCATCGATCAAAATTGATATTTTGCCACAAAGATATAATGCATAAAGATCAGAGCCAGAGATCAACCTTTTTGTTATTGAATTATTTTAAAATCAAATACTGACGATTAATCATTTTCTACATGAATAAATTTCTATTTTGCGACCAAAGATATAATGCAAAAAGATCAAAGCCAGAGACCATCGTTTTTGTTATTGATTTACTATTCACTTTAACATCAAAGGCGAATGATGAATCAATCAATTTTCACATGGACAAATTGATATTTTGCGACCAGATATATAAAGCAAAAAGATCAAAGTCAGAGATCAACCTTTTTGTTACCGATTTATTTTAAAATCAAATGCTGACGATGAATCAATCATTTTCTTCGTGAAAAAATTGCTATTTTGTGACCAAAGATATAATGCAAAAAGATCAAAGCCAGATATAAACATTTTTGTTATTATTACTACTTTTCACTTTAAAATCAAATTCTGAAGTTGAATCGACCAATTTCCACATAGACAAATTGATATTTTACGACTAAAGATATAATACTGAAAGATTAAAAAGCCAGAGATCAACTTTTTTGTTATTGATTTAGTATTCACTTTCAAATCAAATGCGAATGATGAATCAATCAATTTTCACATGGACAAATTGACATTTTGTGACCAGCGATATAATGCAAAAAAATCAAAGTCAGAGATCAACCTCTTTTTTATTGATTTATTTTAAAATCAAATGCTGACGATGAATCAATCATTTTTCTCACGAACAAATGGCTATTTTGTGACCAAAGATATAATGCAAAAAGATCAAAGCCAGATATAAACATTTTTGTTAGTATTATACTATTCACTTTAAAATTAAATGCTGAAGTTGAATCGACCAATTTCCACATGACAAATTGATATAGGAAGAAAGAAAAAACCAAGAAACTATTTTATAAAAGGAGACAAATTGATATTTTGCGACAAGAACAATAAAAAAAAAAAAGCGGTGTTTTTTAAAAAAAATTGACAAAAGATATAGAATCCAAAAGGACCAAAGCCAGAGATCAACCTTTCTGTTATTGAGTATGTTTCATTAGACGATTTGCTGCAAGCGAATGTATCGATTCAAGACAAGCTTTATATTAAGATTAACAAAGTATCATACTTACAAAAATGTAAGATAAACAAAAAGAAAATACTATACATTGACCCCAAATGAAAATGAAAAATCTGTATAAAACTCAAACATTTGGTTTGTAATAAAGTCCACGACGTCTCGCCGTTAAAATTAAAAATACTACATACAGTAGGACTGTTTCCGTAAGGTAACCGATGTTGGTCCAAGCGACGTTTAAATGTTGGTAATCCTTGTAGCCTCCGCATTGTAGTTTCAGGAACTGGCTTAGGAATCGTCATTATTTTATCAAATATCGTTCTTTTTTTCCACTTTTTATAATGCGTTCTATTGTTTCTAACTTCATTACCATTCGAAGAAATGGATACGTTTGGCGAATTATAACTTGACCTTTTATTTTGTCCAAATGACCAAATTCGATTAGTATTTATCGTACGCGTTATTATAGGCTCCTTGATGATTTTATTCTGTCAAAGAAGATATATTAAATTAAATATAGTAATGCTAAAAATGTACAAAGATAATGATGGTATCCTCCAGTCCAGACAAAAATCTCCGTGAGTCAATACCACGCATAAACACATAGACACAAACAGCTCATCTTATCCATATCTAATTAATATTCAGCAATATAATTAAAGAAAGCACGCTGCATTAATCATATTGCTAAATATTCATCTGGTTATAGTATGTAGTGTCAAAAATATGATGTGTCAAAATATCTAAAGTCAAAAACCAACAATTAGTTCTCGTTTAGAATGTTTATTATAAGTTTACATGGTAGAGCCATGCTGCAGTTATATTTGTAGTATAGTTGTAGCACGAATGGGTCGGCTCGACCGGGGAGGGACCACGCTCTCACAGAATATCAGCGTAAAATAGTAGCTTAACGCTGCTGTGTTTCGTATGGTGAGTGTAGAGAACCGGAGACCCTTTTTATTGGAAACGAGGCATTCCACCTAAGTCCTCATTGGTGACAACGCATCCGCATTTTGATTCGTAATCGAGGATAGATGTAGATGTCTATGGGCCACAGCAACCACTTACCATCAGGTGGACTGTGTTCTCGTTTGTCATCCTATCCTATATAAAAAAAAATGTACTGGCACCGGCTGGATTCGAACCAAAGTAACAAACGCGTCACATAAAATATTTACATAACGTCCACGAACAGAGTTGAAGTCAGTTAAAAACTTATCACCTATTATTTCACAATAGAATACGTAAATTAGATTGATTATAAATGACAAAAATAAATTACACATAAATTATTTAATAATCTAATGTATAAAAATTAACACTTTCATTGTCTGATTTTCAGACAATGTACAACAATAGTAATAAACAATAATAAGCAGTACAAGGGGCAGCAAATGGGTTAAGGGGAGATATAATCTCAAATGGCTTAGCAAGATCCTTCGTTATGCCGAAAATATTGCAGCATTAATTTTGAAATAAATATATGGTAAAGTTGAGGATTAATGTTAAGGATTATGTTAGGCGAAAACACGATTTCGTAAAATTTTCTCGATAGAAAAAAAAATCCAAAGTTACCTCCAAAATAAACAATAAACCGCTGTTATTCATAAAATACTTTTAAGATCATGAAACTTTGCATACTAACTGAACTAACTATAAAGCAGTGCTTATGTTATTTCCTTTTTTTTAAACCTATTTTCACATTACCTAAACTATCGGCGCGTAAGCTTGATTCCTGTCGCCCCGTTAGTATCACTCCGGCTTTTGAAGGGAGAAGTTGTGTCACTTACGATCAGAATACACATTGCGCAACAGGGCGACGTAAAATTAAAACGGGAAATAACCGTAATAAAAATAAGAAGCGACTGGCTTGGCGTTAAGAAACAGGCATAAATATGATAAACCTAATGAAATAAGTATCTAACGACCTTTCTAATTACAGTATTAGTGATTACAAACATGTCGGTACATAGCATACGACGCGCGGGCAAGTGGGGACGAAATTAGAATCTGAGCTGACTTACTATATCCCCTTAATGTCTGTTCGTATTTTATGATTTTTGAGATTGGAGGCCCAAATCCCCCCCCCCCCCCATCAACATGGTAGCGGAATTAAATAATGATCGACTACCCCAGGAGGGTACCAGCACCCCTGGAGAATCCCTCGCTGAGCATCCACGACCATGTTTCTCCACTTCTGAGCGTGGGTGCTCAGGCTGCCCCGCGTATTCGGGGGGGGGGGGCAAAATTCCGCTCAAGACTACAACTGCTCGGGGCAAACGGAGCAACAAGACCAAGGCGACCCCTGCCACGCTGTCCGTGAATTTCTGCAATATCAGGGGACTTCACTCTAACCTAAACGCCGTCCACTACCATCTCGAGACGGCGAAGCCGGCTCTGCTCTTTCTGACCGAGACGCAGGTGTCCTCTCCGGCTGATGTCTCGTATCTCTCCTACCCGGGGTACAAACTGGAACACTCCTTTGTGCCTCGGGCTGGAGTTTGCGTTTACGTCAGAGAGGACATCTGCTCTCGACACCTCGGCAGACTTGAAGGTTCGGACCTGTCCATCCTTTGGCTACGCGTAGACAGCGACGACCATCCGCGCGTCTACGGGTGCCTCTATAGGTCCCATAGCGGTAATGCCGAAACAGACCGACTATTCGACCACGTCCAAATGGCTGCAGATTCGTTGCTACAGCAGATCCCCTCCGCAGAGATCGTGATCCTCGGCGACTTTAACGCCCATCACGCCGAATGGCTTGGTTCACGTTTAACCGATCATGCGGGGAGATCTGTTCATGATTTTGCCTTGGCATATGGTCTGACACAACTGGTTACTTCGCCTACGCGGATTCCAGATGTGGAGGATCATGCACCTTCCCTGTTGGACCTTCTGCTGACCTCTCACCCGGACGGATATCAGATTTCCGTCGACGCCCCCTTTAGGCTCCTCGGACCATTGTCTGGTCCGGAGTGTGGTGCCACTCACGCTGAAATCGCGGTTGCATTCTGCAGGCTGCCGCCGTGTTTGGCACTATAGGTCAGCCGACTGGGATGGGATGCGGTCTTTCTTTGCATCCTACCCTTGGGGGCGGGTTTGCTTCTCGCATTGCGATCCCAACGTTGTTGCGGATTCTGTTGCTGATGTGGTACTTCAGGGTATGGCACTTTTTATTCCTTCCTTCTGTGGTGCCCATTGGAGGCAAGTCTCAGCGATGGTTTGGTCGCTCCTGTAAAATATCATCATGCTATAGGCAGGAGTGCTACCAAGCCTGGGCTGATGCATCAGCGACCCGGGATGTAAACACCAGCGCTCTAAAAAAGAAGTATAATTCCGCCTCTAGGTCCTTCAAAAGTCATTGCCAAGGCAAAGTCAGAGCACATAGGCAGAATTGGCGAGAAACTAGTTCGCCTTCCTTCTGGAACCCGTGCATTCTGGTCTCTCGCCAAGGCTGTCCAGGGGAGTTTCTGTCAGCCATCTCTTCCATCTCTGCACAGGGAGGACGACTCACTGGCCCATACCGCAAAGGAGAAAGCCGATCTTCTAGGCTCTTTCTTTGCATCTAACTCGACTCTCGATGACGGGGGGAGTACTCCGCCGACCATCCCGCGGTGTGAGTGCTCCATGCCGGAAGTGCACTTCACACAGCGCTCGGTTCGCAAAGCACTCCTCTCCCTGGACATCCACAAGTCGAGTGGGCCTGACGGAATCCCCCCAATTGTGCTGAGGACGAGTGCGAAGGCCTTCGATCGGGTTTGGCACAAAGCTCTTCTTTCGAAGCTCCCTTCCTATGAGCTTCCCGAGGAATTGTGCGATTGGATCAGCAGCTTTCTTGCAGATCGGAGCATCAAGGTCGTTGTAGACGGTGCAAGCTCCGATTGCAAGCCTATTAATGCTGGTGTTCCACAGGGCTGCGTGCTATCGCCAACGCTGTTTCTTCTGCATATCAATGACATGTTGCATACCCGTAACATTCATTGCTATGCAGATGACAGCACTGGTGATGCTCTGTACACCGGCCGTGCCAATATTTCTCGGTAAAACGTCTCCGAATACCGGGACAAACTTGTGTCTGAAGTCGAGTCTCTGCTGGACAAAGTCTCGGATTGGGGGCGACTAAATCTAGTCCAGTTTAACCCCCAGAAGACACAAGTTTGCGCGTTAACCGCTAAAAAGAACCCCTTTGTCGTATCCCCTCAGTTTCAAGGCACTCCCCTTGTTGCCTCAGCCAGTATCGGAATCCTCGGCGTCGACATATCGAGTGACGTGCAGTTTCGTGGTCACTTGGAAGGGAAGACCAAATTGGCCTCTAAAAAGCTTGACGTGCTCAGCAGAGCGGGACAGTATTTCATGCCGGCACACCGCCTGCAACTTTACAAGGCGCAGGTTCGGCCGCACATGGAATACTGTTCCCATCTCTGGGCTGGGGCTCCCCAGTACCAGCTTCTTCCACTTGACCGCATCCAGCGCAGAGCGGCTCGAATCGTCGACGACCGAGTGCTTTCCGATCGGCTCGATTCACTGGCGCTGCGAAGAGATGTTGCATCTCTTTGCGTATTTTATCGCATCTATCACGGGGAGTGCTCTGAGGAATTGTTCGGATTAATCCCAGCCGCCAAATTTCGTGAACGCACTACACGTCAAACGTCCCGATACCATCCACACCATCTGGATGCTTGGCGGTCCACCACTGTACGTTTCACAAGGAGTTTTCTTCCACGTACAACCTCTCTGTGGAATAGTTTACCACCGGCGATTTTTCCGGACCGATACGACCTGGGGACCTTCAAGAAAAGAGCTTACTCCTTTCTAAAGGGCCGGCAACGCACCCGCAATTCTCCTGGTGTTGCGGTTGATCATGGGCGGCGGTAGTCACTTAACATCAGGTGAGCCGCATGCTCGTTTGCCCCTTCTTCTATTAAAAAAAAATATGCGCTGCCATACAGTTCACTAGATTGCGGTAAAACTTTGTTAACTTATTGCGGGAAGGTTACAGGCATAGTACAATTAACTTACCGTAGGTGGCGCGCGTATCGTATCAACAAATTTATTTGAAATTTCAAATATTGAATGATTTATATATCATTCAATTTCAATGAATGTATTATCGTTCCTAATTAAATAATATAACTCTTCCAAATTTATAACATTTCCACAATTATTTCTTCTGCGGTATCAATGCGCCCAACTAGAGCTAAATAAAAACTTTTTTATAGAATAATGGTGACCAACGAGCACACCGTCCACCTCCTGATGTTTTGTGGATGCTGTGGCCCATAGACATCTACATTTATCCTCAATTGACAATCAAAACGCAGGTGCGTTGTCACCCCTGAGTACTGAGATGGAATGCCGTAAAAAAGGGTCTCCGGATCTCTACACTCACCATATGAAACACAGTAGCATTAAGCTGCTATTTTACGCTGGTACTCTGTGAGAGCGTGGTCCTTCCTCGATCGAACCAGCCCATTCGTGCTACAACCATAATATAGCTGCAGCATGGCTTTACCACGTCTAAATAAATATTCTCAAATATGACTCTTCACTATATTGCTTAGATCTTTATGTGTATATTTTAATCAAATGCATTAAGAATATAGAAGACATATACTTTTACATTAAACAATGCGCTGTCGTTAGATGACGGCGTTAGAGAATCCATCATCACATATTGATGATGATAATGGATGATGTAAGAGGCGACCATGTAAAATGTGAGAAAGATCTCGTGGTCTCCGCTTAATTTCAAAAGAAATTTTAATATACCATATATAAAATGACCAGATAGGACTGTGTGTCCAGTTTGCCTGATACGGGTTCCTAAATAAAAGAAGGAATGTTTGCAAATGCTTACTTACCAAGTTGTCCAAGTTAGTAGTATCCGGCGACAATCTTTTATCTATCTCCATATTATGTAAAGTAGAGTTAATTTGAAGTGGATCTAAATCATAATTAATAAGCGACGAAGTTGTTGCTCTATCGTGTAACAAATGGTCGTCGTCTGCAATTCGATGTTTAATTGCTTGCAATTTTTCATATAGCTCTTCACTTTCAAAAGATAACTGTTTTTCTAAATGAGAAATCATTTTATTTTGTAATATTTCCGGTGATGTTCCCTCAATAATCTTTAATAGAGCCAGCACCAAAGGTTTTTCATATGGCAATATGCAAACCCTTTCCAATAGTGATGTAGCAACATTTAAACTGAATGGTCTAGGGATTGTGTGAATTAATTTAGTTAAATTTATAAAAACGATTTTGAATCTAGAAAAGTTTTGAGTCTCAGCTAGCGTTTGCATGAAAATATCACAAAGAAATTCTCCATTCTTAACGTTAAAAGTTAGCAAATCGGCGACTATTGATATGTCGATTGTATTTAAATACAATAAAACGGTTTCAATAACCTCTAATTGTAAAGTTGCATCTTCCTTTGAATTGTGATTTGTTTTTAATACAAAGTCAATTGCCATTTCAACAACAATTCTTGTTAGCTCTCTTCTTATTCCTTCCAAAACGAAAAATATGCCATATTGTCTTCGCAGTACAGCCCAATTCCGTATTAACATATATTCTTGGATGAACACATCTTCACTTAGTTTTGTTAACCTAGATTTTATCTTATCGTTATCAAGATAGGCATGTAAGAATCTACATCTGGATTTTTTGCAACTGTTTATAAGATTGAAAAAACATACACCCTCAAAAACAACACTTTTAACTCCATGTATTGGTTTGTAGATCGACGCCATTAGAGCTGGGCCCTGGTGAGGATTTATAATTTTTGTAATAGTATTGAAAGATGAATGAGATTTTTTATTGTCTTCGTGAAATATTTGCAAATTGCTGGTACCACCTAAGTCACAATGAATTATATTATTTTTATCACTTTTAGAATTTCTGTATATTGACGTCGAATCTGCGTTTTGTTTTTCGCAAACCATTATTGCTTTATTATTTTGTACCTCAACTTTTTTCTCACTTTGCTTGCTAATCTTTGTTGGGAAATAAGTTACAGTTTCAACAGGTTTATTTAAAACGGGCCTTATTGGTTGTGGTATAGCTTCTATCTGACTTTGCTTGCTAATCTTTGTTGGGAAATAAGTTACAGTTTCAACAGGTTTATTTAAAATGGGCCTTATTGGTTGTGGTATAGCTTCTATCTGACTTTGCTTGCCAATTTTTTTTGGGATATAAGTTACAGTTTCAACAGGTTTATTTAAAACGGGCCTTATTGGTTGTGGTTCAACTTCTTTCTGACTTTGCTTGCTAATCTTTGTTGGGAAATAAGTTACAATTTCAACAGGTTTATTTAAAATGGGCCTTATTGGTTGTGGTATATATTCATTTGATTCACTGTTATTGAGATTCGATATGGATGCTATTGAACTGTTTTTTCTAGAAGATTCAAAACCGGTTATGCTCTCAGCAAACAGAGACAACGCATCGTCATCATCATTGCATCTATCATCAATTGAAATTACTAAAGCATCTTCATTTTCCACTTCTTCAGTCGGATCTCTTATTTTGTTGTCTTCAATATCTTTGATGCATGCTAAATCATTGTTGTTATGAACAGTTTTATCACATTTTGTTTTGTTTATCCTATCAGGCTTAATAAAACCTTCCTTTTTGGCATCCTCATCGGAATTTTCTTTATTTTCACAAACATTAGCCTCAGAAATTAAATTAGTATCGTCACCAAGCAACACTCTTTTAATGTTTTGACAATGAAGTATAACCTGACTCTCTTCTTTTAACAACCTATATATCTTGTCATTGAAATTTTGAGTAACTGGACTAACACTTTCATCTTCATAACCTATCCAAGTCATAATTTCCAAATCGAATTTTTTCAAATGCGATGTAAGTTTATCCACTGCTTCGCCAATTTTGTCAACTTTTTCTTCTAAGACAATACTACCATTACTGTCAGAGTCTGAACTTGATGAAGACGAAGAATACGAACTCAAAGACAAAGATGGGGACTCTGATACGGCGGCCGGGGAAACGCTTCGCTCCTTTTCTGAACCCTTATTACATTCCTCATCAGCACTTTCTTTATCTGTTAAAGATTCACCTTTCTCGTCAACACTATTTCCCATTTCCAATTTATTTGTAAAATGAGTAAGTTTGATTATTGGTAATTTGTTATCGAAACGTACAAAATCTTTTGAACACACTGTAACGCAAGTAGTAGTACTAGAACTTGAAATATCTTTGGTCCATGACAATTCAGACCCAGCAGAAGTTTTTCTTGTCTCTATTAGTGCAGGATGTATATCACTACCAGTTTCCACATTAAGGGACTCTTTATGTTTGTCACTTTCCTTATTATTTTCGTTCAAAGTTGTCGTTACATTTTCATCATTTGCAGGTACATTAGCACTAATCTTACCTTTTCTTATTTTCTTTCTAGGTTTATGTTCAACTTGTTCAAGTTTTTCAGTATTCTGAGCAGTTCTCTTCCATATTTTTGCATTTAAGCCCCGTTTAGTTACGTAACTTCGTTTTACTGGTCCATCTTTTACATTATTACCTGAAAATGAGTATATTTTATTTATTTAGAAACCATCTAGTCAGACCACAAGTAGCATTATTAAATGAAATTGAATAAAAAGTTGTACAATAGGCAATCATTACCTATTGTAACAGTATTTGTGCTTGCTACATTTTTCCTTTGCAATCCTTTGAGTGACTTTTTTTTCGTTTTTGGTTCGAGAGTTTCAAAGGCTGAACCTGTTTAAGAAATGAGGATATTTTGATATTATAAGCATACGTTAATAGAAAAACTTGAATATTAATAAATCTTCTCCAATAAAAGAATAAAATACCAGCAAGAATAGAATACCAGCGTCCAATAGCAGCTTAATGCTACTGTGTTTCGTATGGTGAGTGTAGAGAAACGGAGACCCTTTTTACTGGAAAAGAGGCATTCCATCTTAGTCCTCAAGGCTGACAACGCATCTGCATTTAGATTCGCAATCGAGGATAGATGTAGATATCTATGGGCCGCAGCAACCACTTACCATCAGGTGGACTGTGTGCTCGTCTGTCACCCTTTTTCTACAAAAAAAAAAAACAAAAAACAAAAACGGAATCAACAATATTATTTTAACGCCTTACCTGCAACTATTTCATAAGGGTTAAAATATTTTAGAAATGAAAAATTGCGAATCTTAGCTATTAACGTTTTAACTATTCATTATTTAGAGCCCACAAAGTATAACTTATCCCCATAGATTCCCCAAAGGATTTTATCAAGTTCTTTGGCATACATGCTCTATCTTTCATTAGTTTCTCGTGTTGTCTCATTTAGTGGATTCCATTGCCCCACCACTCCACGGCTTAATAAACGGGTAAATGTGACAAAAATCTAATTAACAGAACTATTGTTTGTATAAGTTGTTCTATCACACTCATTGACTGATGGAAATTGCTGGATCTTCTTAAAGATGGACACTACAGACTACGCCAAAAATTGGAATAACCCATATTGGGAAGTTTTTTAGCAGGATCACAGGAGTAAAGTTCTTATATCTGTTCAACATAGAGTTATCTACACCATTAGAATAGTCCGCCTTATTAATAGTAAACAAAGAGCCATTATCGTCATAACAACGGATGAACCGGAGAATTTAATCGATTTTTGTACAATGTTTTCCCATTTGTTAAGGCAAGACAGTTTGCTATTATTAGATTGATACGTTTAGTTTTAAAGTTTTTATTTCTGATGAAACCGACCAGAGGCAAAGCAAAGTTTCATACAACCGCGCTATGATAGGTACACTACTACAAGCTCGACGCGCGCGTGTGTGTGAGCACTGGCGGCTCGTCACGTACACAGAAACTGCTATAAACTGGCTCGGCCAGTGCTCAAACTCAGGGTGAACACGTCGCGAATCGTGCTTGTTTTAGTCTAACGTTTGATTTCAAAATAACAAAAAAAGTATAAGAAGAGTAATCTTGTTTACTGTACTGTGTGTATGAACAATAGAACGTATATACACAATAAATAATAATTATTAATAGTACTTATATGCAATAATATTGTAACTTGTTCAAAGCATAATTTTATTTAATACAAATACTTTATATAATGTAAAAATATATCATTTTTTAATTATCTCAAATAACTAGGTAATTAGTACTTAGTTATTATTTATTATTTTAAATGCGGTAGATAGATATCTCATACAATACGTCAATACGTTTAGCGCATTTATTGAATTGTTTGAGAAAAAAATTCGCGAATATTTTGATTTCGAAATAATCATTGTTAATATTGATAGTGATATATTAAAACATGTGCAATCATCATCATCATCATCATTACAGCCCTTCACAAGTCCACTGCTGAACATAGGCCTCCCCTAAGTAATGCCACAAAGCACGGTCCTGAGCCACCTGCATCCATCGACTTCCTGCATGTCTTACCAGGTCGTCACTCCATCTAGTGCGGGGTCGCCCTACACTACACCTACCGGTACGAGGCTGCCACTCGAGAACCTTTCCTCTATCTATCTATCTAGCTAGCATATCCCACGTGAATATTTTCTATCAGATTATTTAAAAAATAAACTTTATATTAAATTTAAAATTTACTATTCATTTAAAAGGCACAAAAAATTCTTCAGAAACAAAAACAAAAATGAAAACAAAATCTTTACAGTAAGTAAACACTTTATAAAGAAATATTTTATCATCTCTATATATAAAAACCAAGTGCCGTCCGTTAAACTCGCAAAAACTCGACAATGGCTCGCCCGATTTTGATGAATTTTTTGTGTTTAGAGTCGGTCCCTGGATGCTTTAAAAACTCAATTGAACCCGGTTCGTAGCTCTGTAGTCGAGATCCAGAAATCGGGGCGGATCACTAGTAGGTAAATAAAAAACGCTATTATATTACAACTTTGTTTTTAAATGCTGATAAACGTTTTGTTTATTTAATATTATTCTTCTGTGTCTACCAAAATATTGCAGCTATATTATGGCTGCAGCATATATAATTGCTATATATGCTATATTTTTAGTAAGTCCGCAGGGGTGATAACGCATCTCCATTTGGATTTGGATTCTTAATCGAGGATAGATATAGATATCCATGGGCCGCAGCATCCACTTACCATCATGTGGATTGTTTGCTTACTTGATGCCCTTATTCCACAAAAAATAATCCTTCACTCCAGCAATATAACACGGCACTCGGAAGACGTAGGACAAACGGATTTACATATTTTCTGAAGCACGGAATGAACGGTGTTAGGGTGCGATAAACGCGGAATTTTCTGCTTCTGTTTGTTTAGTTTAGTGTCGCCAGCGGTTTTTCTGGACCGATACGACTTAGGGATTTTCCCTTTCGAAAAGCCTATTCTTTTCTCAGACACTGGCAAGTCAATTCGCCTGTTGTTGCAGATGTGAGCTACTGTCACTTACCATCAAATGAGCCATATGGATGTTTGCCTTAAAAGATATGTTTTATCTGTTTTTTCAATAATTTCGTATTCAATAATTGTTAAATTATTTCAATGGTTTCGTGCTCATTTCCATTAAAATAAACTCTTTCACCAAAGGTTTGCCTTAAAGAGGTGTGTTCACAGTTATGCTTATTCTAGGTATAAAGTTAAGAAAGAAATAATGTTTGAATTTATACGGTGTACACAGTTTTGGAGATCGCCAACCCACTTGAAAAGCGTGGCGTTTGAGCTCTACGTTCTGGGAGAAATCCAAGTGGATTGATAGGAAGTTTAAAAAAAATTTATACCAAGACTTACACCATTTTTCAAAGAGATAAATATAATTTCATCCATTACTTCATTATAGCATTTCAAAGGTGTACTGTTGAAAAAAGACCTCTCCCATAGATATATAGCCTCATAAAAAGATTTTGCCCATAGTTGCCATGATGCTAGTAGGCGGGCAGGTTGGCAACTGCAGCTTTTTATATTTTTGAATTGATATCTGGAAGATGCTGCTGCGCATCTCATATTTCATTGCCCTCTGTACCTTCTTACGACACCGACGTGATTGTACAGGGCAGTGGATTCTATAACACCGCTACTAAACAGCTTATTTCATTATTTAGGTCGTTCCAATCAAAATTTTTTTTAAGAAAACAAATGCCAAATATAAAATTTCAAAAACTACAAAGCATTTAAAATTAAGATAATGCTTAGAGGTTGGAATAATACGTATACAATTATTTCGTACAATGATATATTGTTAGACAACTCAATTGTATTAGAAAAAGAATTCGCCTTGCTTAGTAATTAAAATGCTTAATCAGGGTATTATAGTTCACCCTTGAACATGCCCCCTCCCACTATACACACCATAAACATACTTTTTAAAATATTATAATCTATTAAGCAATACCAGCGTCAAATAGTAGCTTAATGCTCATGTGTTTCGTATGGTGAGTGTAGAGAACCGGAGACCCTTTTTACTGGAAACGAGGCATTCCATCTTAGTCCTCACGGGTGACAACGCATCTGCATTTTGATTCGTAATCGAGGATAGATGTAGATGTCTACGAGCCACAGCAACCACCTAGCATCAGATGAACTGTGTGCTCGTTTGTCACCCTATCCTATAAAAAAAATAAGAAAGTAGGAATTACTGTGATTTAAAAAATACTTTAAAAATATAATAATTTTATACTGTATTATATGAATTAATAGAGATTTCAAACATGTATGTAGACTATTTAATATAATATGTGTTAAAAAGTTAACAATTAATTCCAAATTGTAAAGAGCCATACCAACCAAGGTCTAAGACCTAAAACACTACACAAGCAACCCAAGTTTGATTCCTACTGGTGCCAATTAAGTTATCAATCACAATTGTAAGTCTTAAAAGCCTATGTTCAGCTGTGGACTATAATGACTATGATGACAATGATGATGATGAACAGAATATATTTCGAGAAACTTAAAGCCTACCAAAATTCACTAGAGCAGATTTGAGTTCTAAATGCTCTACCCTCTCAGTATTGAAAGGAGGCATGTACACGTAGTTTAGATTTTTATTTATTATTACCAATATATAATAAAGAACAGGCATATCTATGCAACTACTAATAACTTGTTACAAAAAGTATTTAATAATTAGCAGCAAGTCCCTTAGTTAGGTTTCTCAGACCGGAGGACCAAAACATGTGCACAAACTTTGGAAATAGCGAGATTTTGATTTTGTTGTCGGGAGAAATAAATATTAAAAATAAGTTTATTTTTCTAAATTAAGCGCTACAAAAAAACGCAACATTGTTGACACACAACCAATCTTTTTTACGTGGTAGAGCCATGCTGCAGTTATATTAGTAGTATAGTTGTAGTATGAATGGGTCGGCTCAACCGGGGAGGGACCACGCTCTCACAGAATACCAGCGTAAAATAGTAGCTTAATGCTACTAAGTTTCGTATGGTGAGTGTAGAGAACCGGAGACCCTTTTTACTGGAAACGAGGCATTCCATCTTAGTCCTCACGCGTGACAACGCATCTGCATTTGGATTCGTAATCGAGGACATATATAGATGTCTATGGGCCACAGCAACCACTTACCATCAGGTGGACTGTGTGCTCGTTTGTCACACTATCCTATAAAAAAAGCATGTATGCGAAGGGAAGGCGAAAGGACGCGAGATGTTTCAGGATAGTACGAAGGTACATAGAAGTACAAAGTCCTGCCTACTCCTCTGGATGACAGATGATAAAAAAAATCTAAGCACACTTAATTTTTAGATTGCCACATCTATTTGACATTGGACTATAGTAAAGTCCACCAATTTGGATTTTGGATTTGGAAAATTCATCTTTTATTAAATCAAAGGCCATATGTTAACTTTCCGAGAAACTATCTGGAGATTTTGAGTTTTGTCAAAAATCTATAGACATTTAAAACGTCGGGAGAATCTACACAAATCCCTACCATCTGGCAACCATACCCTTAGCCACCTTAGTGTCACATTCTTAAGGATATTTTACATTCACAGTCAATTTCTATATTAGTTTACATATTTTCTTAGTTTGCATATTGTCTTAACTTGCATATTTTCTGCGGAACTTCTTCAATGAAACATACTCTAAACCCGAGACTAATTTCAAAGTGTTTTTATTAATAAAACCAATATAGTCCTAAAACAGTCACGAAAATTTTACTTTTGACACACATAGTATCTATATTTTAAAATTATTTATTAACATACTGTTACGAGCTTGAGGTTCGTGACAATAAAAACTGCCGATTGAATTACCAAAATTTAGACTTTAATTCACTTTACACTAATTACAACTTAAAACACTAATAATTAACCACACTGATTCACTTTATTTCGCTCCGAAGCTTTGCTCGTCTCGCCAAATTCAATACTGCCCCGATCGCGTATTGCAGCGCCTTTAAATACGCTTTTCACCGAAACATCCAGAATATTCAAGTAAATACGCGCGCCAATCGACCAGGCACCGAAAGTTCGAGTGTAGGTCTTCTAGAAAGCTTAGTTCTTCAATTCGATACTAGATGGCGCTGTAGGTTGAAAGATTAGTCATGTCATTTTCTGGAAACCTCTTTTCGCCCTGTTACCCGACACTAGATGGCGCTAGTGCCAGACGTCAACTTAGGCGCGTAACACTGACCCCTCCTAAGACATGCTCGTCCCGAGCATTATCCTCCCCATAATAACGCGCCAGGCGATCCACATGGACGATCTTAGGAGTCCCTCTTGCGCCTTTCTGTATCCGGTAGGTTACATCGTTGATCCTGGTCACAGTCCGGTACGGGCCGTCCCATTTAGCTTGCATCAGGGTATCCCAAAATAGGTGTTTTGCACGGACGGTCCTTGAGCTCCTGGAATGCGATATTGCAACTTTCATCCCAGCAGAAATGTCGCTTCTCCTCGGTTAGCTTGTGCAGAGGTTTGGCTATATCTGCAAAGTTCTTCACAAATCGCCGATAATAGGAGCACAAACCCAAAAATGCTCTAACCTGCGTTTTGTCTTTTGGAACCGGCCAATCCTTGACAGCGGCGATTTTCTCCGGATCCGTGCGGATACCTTCTTCCGACACTACATACCCCAAAAAGTTGACTTGCCGTTTGAATAGTGAACATTTCTTCGGACTCAACTTGAGGTTGGCACTCCGAATCTTCATGAGCACGTGTTCCAGGTTTTGAAGGTGTTCCTCAAACGTACGGCCTACGATGATGATGTCATCCAAGTAGACCAGACAGGCATCGCCAATTAGCCCGGTAAGTACAAGCTCCATCAGCCTTTCAAACGTTGCTGGAGCATTGCATTTGCACAATCCAAACGACATTACTTTAAATTGCCACAGACCTTTTCTCGTCGAAAACGCAGTTTTCTCCTTGTCCTTAGAGTCGATTTCAACTTGCCAGTAGCCACTTTTTAGATCCAGCGTGCTAAACCACTTTACTCCTGTAAGCATGTCCAGCGTGTCATCAATTCTTGGCAAGGGATAGCTGTCCTTCTTTGTAACATCGTTCTGACGGCGGTAGTCAACACAGAACCGCATGCTGCCATCCTTCTTCTTTACCTGCAAACACCATCCTTCACCATTCCTTCAATCATGGTTTCCACTTCCTTTTCACGTACTACCGGCAATCATCTTGGCCGCTGACGGATAGGCAATCCTTCTCCTGTGTTTATTTTGTGCTGAACTAAGCCAGTCTTTCCTATGTCAGCATCATTTGATGAGAATACATCGACGTACTTGAGTAACAACTTCTTCGCCTTGACCATTTCGTTCGGGGAGAGAACGCTGTGACAGTTTTCCAAAAGTGTGGTCTCTCTCGTTTGTGCATCCTTGCTGGGGGTCCCACTCGATAGATATTGGCACCGACGTAACCAATCCACTTCCTCACAACTACCAACCAGCGTGCCTCTTTCTATAATCTGTTCCCAGTCACAAAGGTTCAGCACACGTATTCCTGAGGTGTCAGTGGTTCTGACCAAGGTTCGACCTACTTTCCAAGGAAGGTCATTGTTTACCCTTTCCACAAGTACACAACGGTGAGCTTGCCCAGCGTTTCGAGGAAGACTAACCGGCACAAACGTTTCCGATCTCGGCGGAAAAACAATCTTCTAAATGCTGTACACGTTCCCTGGTAACGCACTTTCCATAAAAAGTTCCTCCTGTCCACATTTCAAAACACCTTGCTTTACGTCGATCTCACAACAATTATTCCTCATAAAGTCTAGGCCCAGGATGCAGTCGTCCATTATATCAGCCACGATGACATTATGCAGGTAGATCACGTTGCCTAGCTTCAACTTCATCTCCTTCTCTCCACGGACGGGTATACGCTGACCGGTGGCTATTACCAAATTAATGCGTTCTCGGTTCTATGCGGAGTCCCCAAGGAACTGACTTATAAGTTGGGAATTAACAAACGTACGGGAGGCTCCAGTGTCTATGGTCAGTTTACACGGCATTCCGTTGACCTCGCCCTTGATGATTAGACTGTTCCCACCATGGGTTTGTGAGATCGAGATCCTTGGGGCTCTTTTAAGATCAGCCAGCACCCGCCCCGCAGTTCTGGCTTTTACTCGTTTCCCTGCTGCTGCTGGGCGGTGCTGTTGGCCGCACTACCCTCCTGAGATCGTTCACCTTCCCTTTCCACGGTTCGCTTAGTGCAGCTGGATCGAAGATGGCCCATTTCCCCACAGCCATAGCACCCGGGGCTGTATCCTTTATTGCGGTCGCGAACTGTAGCTGCCGCAACCTTCCTAACGCGATGGGAGCGAAGATCCTGCCGCACGGCTTCCACCTCCAGTGCATGGGCCAAGGCGTCCTTAAGCGTCTCGTGGTGCCCGAGCCTCACAGCAGCTCTGACTTTAAGGTCGCGGATGCCGTCGATGAATGTCTGCACCAGGTTCCCTTCAATGAGCGCAGGTACAGACTGGTATGCTTTTCGAACCATCTTCTGCACCTCAAGGGCCCACTGTTGCAGGTTTTCGTTGCTGCGTTACACGCGATCTTTAAGCTGCGCGCGAAAGACGAGTTCCAGGTGAGCGTCGCTATATCTCACCTCCAATGCCTCAAGGAGCTGCTCGTAGGTCACTTTCTTACCGAGAGCTTCCAACACAGTTAAGGCTTGGTCGCGCAGGCCTAGGGTGAGTGCAGTCATGGCCTAGTTTTTATTCCAGTCGTTCGCCTCCATGACAGTCTCGAACTGGATTTTGTAGGCTGACCAGGAAGAAGTCCCGTCGAACGGCGACACTTTGATCCCATGTAGCGAAGGTGTTGTAGCTACTACGGGTGCTGTAATTCCATCCCCCAGTTTGAGGTCGTCCAGCGTTTTCTTCACGTCAGCCATCACGTTGTCAACCGATTGTTCACTTGGTCGATTCTGGTTTCAGTTTTCTCGATTCGGGTTTCAGCTTTAGCGATTTGGGTTTCAGCTTCCGACAGGCGGTTGTCATGGTGAGCAACCCTATCCTTCACCTCCTTTATCTCCTTTCCGAAGGTAGCGTGAAGGTCCTTCATGAGGAGCATCTGCTCTTCCAACCGACGGGCCTTTTCCTCTTGTCCGCCCCGTAGCTGATCTTCCAAACGACGGACCTGTTCCTCTTGTCCGCTCTGCAGCTGCTCTTTCAACTGACGGACCTGTTCCTCCTGTCGGCGAGCCTGCTCCTGCAGCATCACCATCAGAGCACCTAAGTCAGGTGCTGCAGATGTAAGAGCTACTGACGGGCCTGCAGCCGGCGGCTGGCTTCTAGAAAGCTTAGTTCTTAAATTCGATAGTAGATGGCGCTGTATGTTGACGATTAGTCATGTCATTTTCTGGAAAGCTCTCCTCGCTCTGTTACCCGACACTAGATGGCGCTAGTGCCAGACGTCAACTTAGGCGCGCAACAATACTATAGAAAAATACTTAATTTGCAGCTGAATCTTAATGACAGGGTGAGAAATTGTGTGATAAGAAAAAAGGGTGGTTTGCAAGATGATATTGTCACCAGGATTAAGATAGGAATGCTTTGGTGCAAATTTACATCACAGAAGTGAATGATTTTTTTCCAAATTGGGGATATATTGATGATGGCACCCAATTAAGAGTACCATTAACCAACAAGCATGTTTGCAAAGGGAAGGCGAAAGGATTGTATGTGTGCATTATTTTAGATCATAAGCTTGATTAATGTATTCAATATTGACTGCTTAAGTTAGGATATGAAAAATTTAAACAAATGACCAAGAAGAAATTAAGAAAATGTAATTAATATACAAAGTAACATATTAGAAAACAGGCAAATTCGCTATCCCAAGATATTTTATTAGCAATAAACAAAAACACATACATACCATCCGAATCGATCGCAGTTATAATCACAGGTTTTGCTTCCTTTACATCAGAAGTTTCTTCTTTATTTAGAAGTTTCTTACGTGCAGGTTTTCGTTTCACTATTGGTTTCAAAGGCTTATTGGGAACTACTGGTTTTTTTGAAACATCGGCTTGAACAACTATAATAAAATTTGATTCTTATTAAAGCAAAATAATGAAAGCAAAAATATTGACTATCAGGTCAATATTCAACATTAATTATCCCGTAATATAAAAAACTCGATGGAAATATCTAGAAATTTCGCTTGAATGCAGGTTGTTCCCGTGGTGAACTGTACTTCGCCCCATGTTTGTTTATTCTCTCCAGACTCTATTTGCATGATCATCATTTGATAGGTCAACACATATTTCTAATGGGTTGTACATATACATATTTATGATAACATAATCAAAGCATTAAGGACAACCTGATCACAGAAAGTTATCTCAGCATGCAAATATTTCATTATAAAAACGTCTGCTTGACCGAGAAGGACCACGCTCACACAGAATACCATAAGCTCTCACAAAGTAGCGGCTTAACGCTGCTGTGTTGTGAGTGTAGAGAATCGGAGACAATTTTTACAGGAAACGAGGCATTCCATCTTAGCCCTCACACATACCAACGCATATGCTTTTAATTCGTAATAGAGAATAAATAGATGTAGATGTTTATGGGCTACAGCAACCACTTACCATCAGGTGGACTGTGTGCTTGTTTAGTCACCCTTATCCTATGAAAAAAAAATTTTGAACGCATAAATCGCATAAAACATCAACATAATGATTTCAACTGTGTGAGTTGTCTTTTTTAATATTAAATTTAGTGTACTAAAATAGGACAGTATGAAGTCGGCCATCCAAGAGAATTAAATGTGAGATGTAATTTCACCCTGTCTCTACGATTTTTATTAGGCAAGGCCAAAAAAAACCTAGACGGCAATCTTGCACATATCATGCTTATAATATTCAGAAAGATTAGACTGTGTTAAGTTTTAATGTAAAATTACTATGTTTAGTAGTTTAGGCTTACTAAAACCTCTTATAAAGTCATGTCTGCAATCCTGAATGGGTAATCTTAAGAGCAACAAACTACACGGACCGCATTACCCGGTGGATCGGTGGTAAAGGCTATGCTGACGGAGCAAGTGAAAATCTATCTATCTGCTAGCTGGATTAAGCTCCCGATGTCGCACTGTGAGCCAACTTCGCGTCCCCATATTCTCCCGATAATCCTAACGCCTGAAATTCTTTTGATACTAAAGTAGGGCGTTTCCAAAAGTGCGGGCCGACATGTCAGAGGTGTTTTTTTTTTCAAAGGGTGCAATTTCCACGCTGGATGTTCCCAAAACCAGTTCCAAATCTGCAGAGCTGGAAGCGAGAAAAGAACAAGGGTCCGTAAGTAGCAAAACTCCTGCGAAGCCCCAAAGAACAGATGACCTTTTCTCTGCTGCCTGGCAAATGGTGAGCCGTAAGGGGAAGGGCAAGGCACCCAAAAATGTGACTTACCGACCTGACGAACCATCAGGTGGGTCTATACCAGCAGACAGTGGTGCAAATGCCAAGAATAAGAAGCAAAGAGAAAAAGGCCGCAGAGAAAGAACCGCGCTCGATGCTTCTAAGAGCAGCACCAAGGTGGCTGGGCAAGCTACATTTACTGCGGTGCTTGGGGCTGGAACCAGTAGCCGCGCTGAAACTGGGAAGGATAAAAATTGTTCGTGTGCTGGCTTACCAGAACCGATGGGTAAACATCAGGTACTGGCTGCTACTCAAAGTTGACAGACGGACGGGTGGTTCCTCGTTGTTTCAATACCGGAGGATCATATCCCGACCTTGATGAAAGCCGGACGCCGCTTCACATGTGTATGTGGGGCGGTATACGTAAAATTCCAGGGTCGTGGAGGCAAATTCTTTGATACTCCACCAAGCCAAGAGGCAGATAAGAACCCGAAAGTCATGGATACCGAGGCCATGGTTACCGGTACTGCGGAATCACTCGATGAAAAGTCCAGATTAAAACGGCCTTCACAACCGAGCCTAAGCCCCCAGTGGAGACTGGGCTCAACGGCAGCTCACTAAGTGACGTAGAGGACTGCATTTTGCCGTCCAATTCTGACTTGGTCGAGGTTCTCCATCACACTACTGACCAACAGTATGGCGGTACTACAAGCTCTGAGTTGTAATGAGGCGAACTCGGGACTGATAAGTGCCATCAACGATTGAATGAGGTATGTAAGCACAACAATGAGACTGCAATGGATTAAGGGACACAGTGGATCCAGATACAATGATGCAGCAGACAAACTGGCCAGAAGAGGATCAGCTCTGACCACTATAGGGCCGGAAACAATAATACCAATCCCCTTTCGTTACGTTCGTTCACTGGTACGTAGAACCTTCACTAATCTACACGCTCAACATTGGAAAAATCTAGTAGACTGTAGACAAGCTAGGGAGGCTCTGCCAGAAATAAGCAGTCGTCCAACCAAGTTTCTAATGAGACTAAATAAGCCACAGATCAGGATAGTAACAAGTGCTATTACAGGACATGCCTCCTGTAAGGATCAGATCATCTATGCGCTCCGCCAGTTTTTGCGTTATATCCGGCTGGAACAAACTGATATTTGTCCGAGCAAACACCATCCTGACGGTGCGCACAATCCTTGGCCTGTTATTGCCTGACCTGAAGCATATCAGTCTGCCGATGAGAGCTCTAGCCTTTGCGATAAGCTCCACGCTACTCTGTCCATTAGTGCGTCCAGCCGTGGAAAGCTTGGCGTCTATAATACGGATAGCCCCCTGAGTAGGCCATGTATGGGGGAGGAAGAAACGGCGGCTCGCGTGTTGCTGAAATGTCCAGAGATCGCTGCATACAGGGCTAAACATCTCGGCACGCCGGGGTCGCTCCCCGAAGTTGCTTGCAACATCAAAGGACTGTTAAACTTCTTCAGGGAGATTTCATGGCTTGAGTAATCACATTATTCCTGCCCACATGCAAAATACGTGCTTAGACGTGTAGTTGCGGAAAACAGCCCGTTGTAAACTTAACTAATTAAACGTATACATACCATCCGAATCGATCGCAGTTATAACAACAGGTTTTGCTTCCTTTACATCACAAGTTCCTTTATTCTGAACTTTCTTACGTGCAGGTTTTCGTTTCACTATTGGTACCAAAGGCTTATTGGGAATTATTGGTTTTTTTGAAAAATGTGCTTGAACAACTAAAATTAAAATTTGATTCTTACTAAAGCAAAATAATGAAAGCAAAAACATGGACTATCAGGTCTATATACAACAAAATTATGCCTTAATATAAAAAAACTCAATGGAAATATCTAGAAATTTCGATTGAATGCAGGCTATCCCCATGGTGCACTGTACTTCGCCCCATGTTTGTTCATTCCCTACAGACTATTTGCATGATCATCATTTGACAGGTCAACACCATTATATATATATATTGCTAGCGTAAGGACCGGACCGATCGAATAACTAAAACGGACCAGTGCGCTGGCCCTAAAATTACAGTTTAAGGTCAACGCGAATCGGTCGTCAGTGATGCGCGCGACAGATCTGCCTGTCATAAATCTTATTGATTAAAAATTAAAATTAAAAAAATATGAGATATATCTCACCTACAAAAATTATTAAAAACGCATTTTAAAGTTTTATATTACTGTTAGTCAGTTTAGTTACGTTACCAAGATTAGGCCGGGGTTGGATTCAGACCCTCAAAAATATTGTACATGGAAAATAAAAGTATACTATTTGTCAAAAATTATATCACGCTTGGTGTCTCATGTTTCTTTTTTCCATGCGCCGGGATTTTGGTGCACGTCGTCGTCTTAACGTCTATACCGACCATCCCGCGGTGTGAGTGCTCCATGCCGGAAGTGCAGTTCACACAGCGCTCGGTTCGCAAAGCACTCCTCTCCCTGGACATCCACAAGTCGAGTGGGCCTGACGGAATCCTCCCAATTGTGCTGAGGACGTGTGCTCCAGAGTTGGCACCGGTTTTAACGCGTCTTTTCCGGTACTCCTACTCCCTAGGCGTAGTCTCAAAATCACGCAAAACGGCTTTCGTCCACCCTATCCCTAAAAAAGGCGACCGCTCAGACCCGTCCAACTACCGGCCTATCGCCATCACCTCTTTGTTCTCCAAAACAATGGAGTCCATTGTAAACTGACAGCTCATGAGGTACCTTGAGGATCACCAGCTGATTAATGATCGCCAATACCGTTTTCGCCATGGTCGATTAGCTGGTGATCTTCTGGTCTACCTTACTCATAGATGGGCGGACGCAGTAGAGTCCAAGGGGGAGGCATTGGCCGTTAGTTTGGACATTGCGAAGGCCTTCGATCGGGTTTGGCACAAAGCGCTTCTTTCGAAGCTCCCTTCCTATGGGCTTCCCGAGAAATTGTGCAATTGGATCACCAGCTTTCTTGCAGATCGGAGCATCAAGGTCGTTATAGACGGTGCAAGCTCCAATTACAAGCCTATTAATGCTGGTGTTCCACAATGCTACGTGCTATCGCCAACGCTGTTTCTTCTGCATATCAATCATATGTTGCAAGCCCGTAACATTCATTGCTATTCAGATGACAGCACTGGTGATGCTCTGTACACCTACCGTGCCAATATTTCTCGGGAAAACGTCTCCGAATACCGGGACAAACTTGTGCCTGAAGTCGAGTCTTTGCTGAACAGAGTCTCGGATTGGGAGCGACTAAATCTAGTCCAGTTTAACCCTCAGAAGACACAAGTTTGCGTGTTAACCGCTAAAAAGAACCCCTTTGTCGTATCTCCTCTGTTTCAAGGCACTCCCCTTGTTGCCTTAGCTAGTATCGGAATCCTCAGCGTCGACATATCGAGTGACGTGCAGTTTCGTGGTCACTTGGAAGAGAAGGCCAAATTGGCCTCTAAAAAGCTTGGCGTGCTCAGCGGAGCGGGACAGTAATTCATGCCGGCACACCGCCAGTAACTTTACAAGGCGCAGGTTCGGCCGCACATGGAATACTGTTCCCATCTCTGGGCTGGAGCACCCAAGTACCAGCTCCTTCCATTTGACCGCATCCAGCGCAGAGCTGCTCGAATCGTCGAAGACCGAGTGATTTCCAATCGGCTCGATTTACTGGCGCTGCGAAGAGATGTTGCATCTCTTTGAATTTTCTTTCGCATATACCATGGGGAGTGCTTTGAGGAATTTCTCGGATTAATCCCAGCCGCGAAATTTCGTGAACGCACTACGCGGCAAACGTCCCCATACCATCCACACCATCTGGATGCTTGGCGGTCCACCACTGTACGTTTCACAAAGAGTTTTCTTCCGTGTACGACCTCTCTGTGGAATAGTTTACCAACGGCGATTTTTCTGGACCGATACGACCTGGGACCTTCAAGAAAAGAGCTTACTTGTTTCTAAAGGGCCGGCAACGCAGCTGCAATTGCCCTGGTGTTGCGGTTGATCATGGGCGGCGGTAGTCACTTAACATCAGGTGAGCCGCATTGCCCCCTCTTCTATAAAAAAAGAAATAATGGTACAAATACGATAATTATACCACGAAATCCAACCCTGATTGCGTCGTGTTATGACGTTCATATTTCACGTGGTAGAGCCATGCTGCAGCTACATTAGTAGTATAGTTGTAGCACGAATGAGTCGGCTCGACCGGGAAGGACCACGCTCTCACAGTATACCATACGCTCTCACAAAATAGCGGCTTAACGCTGCTGTGTTTCGTATTGTGAGTGTAGAGAATTGGAGACCTTTTTGACTGGAAATGAGGCATTCCATCTTAGCCTTCACGGGTGCCAACACATTTGCTTTTGATTCATAATCGAGAATAGATGTAGATGGCTATGGGCTACAGCAACCACTTAAATCAGGTGGACTGTGTGCTCGTATGTCAACTTTATTATATGAAAAAAAAAATTTGAAGACAAAATCGCATAAAACATCAACATAATGATTTCACCTGTGTGAGTTGTCTTTTTTGATATTAAATATTTGTATAGGATACTAAAATTCGACAGTATGAAGTCGGCCATCCAAGAGCATTAACCCATTCATTGTCCGATTTTCAGACACAATAGTAAGACATTAGCAATGCATTATATGTAATACACGGGATAGCGAAAGGGTTAAGTATGAGATGTAATTTCACTGTCTCTGCTAATAGATTTTAGTAATTAAAGCCAAAAAAAGCCTAAACGAAAATTTTGCACATATCATGCTTATATTACTCAGATAGATTAGACAGTGTCAAAGTTTAACGTAAAAATATTTTGTTTAGTAATTTAGGCTTACTAAAACCTCATACAAAGTCATGACTGCAATCGTGAATGGGTAATCTTAAGAGCAACAAACTACATGGACCACATTTAGATAAAAAGTAGTAAAATTTAAAACTTTGTACAATCGACTTCAGTATAAAAAAATGAGAACATAATCAATGTAGTCGAAGTCAATTAAATACGCATTATCAAATCGTGATCAAAATTATATAATGATCATCTAAATCATCAAAATCGGGTCACCTGGATAAAAGTTCTGAGGTAAACCACAAAATAATTACAGTAGAGTTGAGGACCTCCTCCATTTTTTGAAGTTGGTTGAAAAGTATGGGTATAGTTGGAAAATTGTGGAAAAATAACTACTCAGTAACAAACCCAATATTGCTAAGGATGTCACAATCTCTTTTGTTTGTTATACTTAAGTACCACTTTCTCATTTTTATTTATCCCTCTTTTTAAGCTAATTGCTTGTCTTAGGCTCTTCAAAAGAAAAACCAGTTGGCATGCATATCTTGGAATAATTAAGCGCAGATGCAGAGCTACTAAAGTCATACTAATAAATGTCATGCCAATCTTTAAATCTTGGACCTAGCAGAAACGCTAAATACATTCCATACATCAATATATATCATCAATTGATTGTTAGATAGAGCCTTGTGTACCTTTTATCAATATTCAAGTCAAGCAAGTAAGAATGGTATTTGGAAAAAACACATTCATTAACATCCCTTTCAAGTTCTCATTAACATCATAATTCAATGATTCATATTGATCAAATCTTAGTTTTTCTTGAATTCAACACTTTTATTCAAAGGAACTTAATCAATTGAATGCTGAAAATGATGATTTAATTAGGTTAATTGTTTACCTTCATTAGCCAACATAATTTTTATTTCATTCTTGCTTAAATTTTTTGTAGTCACTATCCTGGCTTTTGATTTTTTTGCACCATTTGCATTACTGGACTCTGAAAATATTATTGATTTTTTTAAATATTCAGTTAAACACATGATAAAACGACAATCATATTGAAAGGAAGTTATTAAAACTTGCAAGAATTAATGTAACACAGATTGAGAAAGGCAGGTTTATGAGAATTTCACTAAACAGTATAAAACAACTTAATTTCTGATACATTTTACAGTAGAGCCTAATAATCTGAACACAGGGTTGACTCAGCTGTGGTAGCTCAGATGGTTAACGCTAAGTATAACAGAACGCGAGTAACCCGGGTTCGATCCCCGCCGGCACCAATGAACCTGTTTTATTTTATTGATTTACCACGTGCTCGGCGGTGAAGGAAAACATCGTGAGGAAACCTGCATGTCCGAGGAATAAGAACAAAAAATATTTCGAAGACATGAGAAGTTCACCAACACGCATTGGGGCAGCGCGGCGGACACTTCCTTTCCCTAAAACCCTCTCAGAAATGAGAGGAGATCTGTGCCCAGCAGTGGGACGTGTATACAGGCTGTAACTTTACTTTTTTTTACAGTGTTGACTGGCAAAAAATGCTACAAGTCATTAAGTCCACTTATATGACTAAAAGATACAGTTTTACCGAGGTGATTCGGCACCGTTTTGAGAGAATATAACACCCTAGGTAGTTTCTCAGTCCATGATACACCTGCATCAGACATTTTCTTGAGCTTGTTCTTGAAGGTCTGTATCGCCCGTTCGATTTGTCCGTTCGTCGCCGGGTGATATGGGGGTGAGTACAAGTGCTCGATGCCATTGTTCTGCAGGAATTTATTAAATTCTCTTGAGCTAAAAACTGTACCCTTGTCCGAAATTAATTTTTCTGGCTAAGCGAAGCGAAGCAAAAATCCTGCGACAACTTGCTATTAGAGCTCCACTACTCATATTAGATAAAATATCTGCCTCAAACCATTTGCTATAGCTGTCAATCATAACAAAAAATGTCTTCCCTTGAAATGGTCCTGCAAAATCAACATGGACACGACTCCATGGCTTGTCAGGTAAAATCCATGTATGTCGATCTCTCGGTGGATTGTTTCTCACGGCCTGACACAACTCACAGCCAGTCATTGTGGCCTCTATCTGAGCGTCCATACCCACCCACCATACGTATCCTCTAGCATAGGCTTTCGTTTGGACAATTCCAGCATGCGGTGCATGCAATACCTCTAATACCTGTTGTTGTAAAGAAGCGGGTATAATGACTCTGTTACACCACAATAAACACTCTTTATTATGTGAAAGAGCCTCTCTTCGCGTCCAATACGGCTGAAATATGGGATCAGTATTTTTGCAAGTCCATCCATGTAGCACATGAAATAAAACCTTTTGAAGTACTGGGTCTTTTTTAGTCTCAGAAGCAATTTTCGCTGCATCCAAGTTGAATCCAGAGGGAGGTTCCTCCAAAAGTAGCACATCGGCTAATGAATCCATCCCTCGCACTTCAGCTGCGTTAACAGAAGTCCAATGGCTGAGAGCATCTGCATTACCAATGCATTTTCCGGGTCTGTATTTAATGTCATATTGATAACACGCCAATTTCAGAGACCATCGCAACATTCTAGGTGAAATCTGATCCGGAATAGGTTTATTCGGGTTAAATAATCCGATTAATGGTTTATGATCTGTAATGATACAAAACTTCCTTCCTAGTAAAAATTCATGAAATTTTGTAATCCCGAAAATTATGGCTAAAGCTACTTTATCAATTTGTCCATACCGTCGCTCGTGGGGTTGTAACGTTCTTGATGCCATCATCACTGGTCGTTCTGACCCATTCTCCATTACATGGGCAATTTTATACGTGGTAGAGCCATGCTGCAGTTATATTAGTAGTATAGTTGTAGCACGAATGGGTCGGCTCGACCGGGGAAGGACCACGCTCTCACAGAATACCAGCGTGAAATAGTAGCTTAATTCTGCTGTATTTCGTATGGTGAGTGTAGAGAACCGGAGACCCTTTTTACTGGAAACGAGGCATTCCATCTTAGTCCTCACGGGTGACAACGCATCTGCATTTTGATTCGTAATCGAGGATAGATGTAGATGTCTATGGGCCACAGCAACCACTTACCATCAGGTGGACTGTGTGCTCGTTTGTCACCCTATCATATAAAAAAAAAAATTATTGCACCTATACCATATTCCGATGCATCACAGATTAACAATAACTCTCTTTTTAAGTCATATCCAACGAAGGTTAAATCTGATGACAACAAATCCTTAGCTTTATCAAATGCAACCTGCTCCAGCAAACCCCATAGCCAAGGTTTCTTTGCTTCCAGCAATCGATGCAATGGCTCCAGTATTGTAGCTTTGTCCATAATGAATTTTTCATAAAAATTGTATAACCCTAAAAATGCCCGTAGCTCTTCTTTGTTCCTAGGAGCTGGTTTCTCCTTTATCTCTTTCACTTTAATAGGTGATGGGTGCAATCCCTCTGCATCAATCATATGTCCTAAAAAACTTATCTGATTTGACGCAAACACACATTTGTTCAGATTTAACCGAAATCCCATTGCATTTAGTTTGGTCATGACCACCCTTAGTCTTTGATCATGCTCCTCCTTATTCTTTCCACTAACAGTGACATCATCCAATAGACATGCTACTCCTTCAATACCCGCGAGTGCAGTCGACATCACACGCTGGAAGATTCCAGGAGCCTCATTTACTCCAAATGCTAGCCGGTTCATCCTCATTAACCCTAACGGAGTATTCAGTGTTAACAACATAGCTGTGTCCTCGTCCACTTTCATCTGCATGTAAGCCTGTTTTAAGTCAATCTTACTGAAAATTCTTCCACCACTTAATTTCACAAAGGACTCATTAGCAGCTGGTAATGGAAATGTATCAGTCTCTATGGCTAGATTAACAGTTGACCTGTAGTCACCACATATTCGAAGTGAGCCGTCATCCTTTTTTACAATTCTTAATGGAGTAGCCCATTTAGAGTATTTTACAGGGGTTAATATACTTTCATTCACCATGCATCTTAATTGTTCCTCAACTTGTTTTATCGGAGGAAATGGTACCGAGTGTGCCTTCAAAAACCGTGGCACGGCATCAGCTCGCACATTTAACGACACTTGAGGACCCTTATACTCTCCAAGTCCTTCTTTGGATAACTCCGGAAAAGATTTTAATAATTCCCTTCCTTTAATAATTCAACCTTCTCATCATCTGTCCAGCATATGCCAGCTATCTCTAAGCCCAAAATTTTAAACCAGTTTCTTCCTAAAAGGCTAGGCCCACGACCAGAAACAACCAGTAGCTCACAGTGTGCTTCTTTGTTTCCTAATGACACTCGAACATGAGCTCGACCTAACACCTTCACTTCATCACAGGTCCACGTAACCAACTTCACGCCTGTCGCCTCTAAGGGTGGGGGAACAGACCACAGCTTATAGTATATATCTTCAGCCATGATTGTCCTTGAAGCACCTGAGTCCACTTCCATGCTAACCTTTACGCCATCAATCATAACATCTGCCTTGAATGGTGGTCGAATATTATCTGAACAAACAAAGACACCCATCATCTGTTCAGATTTTTCATTTTCTCTATTTGAAGTTGAACTGAGGGTTGACTTGAGGTACCTTGAGGATCACCAGCTGATTAGTGACCGCCAATACGGTTTTCGCCGTGGTAGGTCAGCTGGTGATCTTCTGGTCTACCTAACTCACAGATGGGCGGAGGCAGTAGAGTCCAAGGGGGAGGCATTGGCCGTTAGTTTGGACATTGCGAAGGCCTTCGATCGGGTTTGGCACAAAGCGCTTCTTTCGAAGCTCCCCTTCCTATGGGCTTCCCGAGAAATTGTGCGATTGGATCACCAGTTTTCTTGCAGATCGGAGCATCAAGGTCGTTGTAGATGGTGCAAGCTCCGATTGCAAGCTTATTAATGCTGGTGTTCCACAGGGCTGCGTGCTATCGCCAACGCTGTTTCTTCTGCATATCAATGATATGTTGCAAACCCGTAGCATTCATTGCTATGCAGATGACAGCACTGGTGATGCTCTTTACACCGGCCGAGCAAATATTTCTCGGGAAAACGTCTCTGAGTGCCGGGACAAACTTGTGTCTGAAGTCGAGTCTCTGCTGGACAGAGTCTCGGATTGGGGGCGACTAAATCTAGTCCAGTTTAACCCCCAGAAGACACAAGTTTGCGCGTTAACCGCTAAAAAGAACCCCTTTGTCGTATCCCCTCAGTTTCAAGGCACTCCCCTTGTTGCCTCAGCCAGTATCGGAATCCTCGGCGTCGACATATCGAGTGACGTGCAGTTTCGTGGTCACTTGGAAGGGAAGGCCAAATTGGCCTCTAAAAAGCTTGGCGTGCTCAGCAGAGCGGGACAGTATTTCATGCCGGCACACCGCCTGCAACTTTACAAGGCGCAGGTTCGGCCGCTCATGGAATACTGTTCCCATCTCTGGGCTGGGGCTCCCCAGTACCAGCTCCTTCCACTTGACCGCATCCAGCGCAGAGCGGCTCGAATCGTCGACGACCGAGTGCTTTCCGATCGGCTCGATTCACTGGCGCTGCGAAGAGATGTTGCATCTCTTTGCGTATTTTATCGCATCTATCACGGGGAGTGCTCTGAGGAATTGTTCGGATTAATCCCAGCCGCCAAATTTCGTGAACGCACTACACGGCAAACGTCCCGATACCATCCACACCATCTGGATGCTTGGCGGTCCACCACTGTACGTTTCAAAAGGAGTTTTCTTCCGCGTACAACCTCTCTGTGGAATAATTTACCACCGGTGATTTTTCCGGACCGATACGACCTGGGGACCTTCAAGAAAAGAGCTTACTCCTTTCTAAAGGGCCGGCAACGCACCTGCAATTCCCCTGGTGTTGCGGTTGATCATGGGCGGCGGTAGTCACTTAACATCAGGTGAGCCACATGCTCGTTTGCCCCCTCTTCTATAAAAAAAAAAAAAAAAAAAAAAAAAAACTTTCCTCCACCTGGTGCAACTTGCCAGATCTCTTCATACAGGCTGGCGCAATATGTCCAAACTTCTTACAATAAAAACATTTTGCTTTTATAAAAGGACACCTTTCGCCGTCGCTGTGTGACCTTGCACAATGACGACATGTAATCGCTTTAATTTTACCAATATCCATAGGTACTGTGGCTGTGGACGGAGTTTGCTTCAGCACACTTGTTTCCAGGTACAAATCTGAGAATGTGCCTTGATAGTTAAGGCTCAATTGCACTGCTAACTTATAAGTAAGATTTTTCGTCTTTAACAACTCGCGACGGAGACGCTCTTCACACACACCTAACACTAATCGGTCCCGTAGCTGTCTTTTTAAGTCCATAAAATTACACCTGGAAGCCAGAGAGCCAATGGCCGCAATAAAGTCCTCAATACTTTCATTATGATTTTGTTGACATTTATGAAATTTGTCAGTTTGTAAAATTTCATTCACTTGAGGTTCATAGAATTGGTCAAGAACAGCCAAAATGTCTTTAAATGTCACAAAAGTCGGCCTTCTAGGCACCAATAATGAAACAATTAATGAATATGTTTCCTTTCCGCATTGTGATAGGAAAATGGCGCGGGCTTTGTCTACATTATCACCAATTACATCCGCGGCTTCCAGAGCACACAATAAACATTCTTTATATTCACTCCAATTGTCAGTCCTGGAATCAAATTTTCCGGGAAACACTACATTTGTCAAATTACACGCCATATTACTAAATAAACTAATTATTTTTCCTCAGTCGCCATTAAAAGATACAAGCCAGATCAAGTTGCAAAACAAGCTCATTTAATCAAATCTACCTTCCACATATATAACAATTTTACCCTTAACATTATTAATACATAACAACGGCCCAAGGCAATTATAAAAAATTATATATTTAGAAGGATTTTAAGTGACAGTATCCCAATGGCAGGTTGTGTACCACAAACTCAATAACAGTACGAATCTGCCATTTAGCTAATGTTATAAAGCACTTCTAACGCAAGCATTTTAAGCTTAACTGTAGTGATCAACTGGAATATTGGTAATGTTATTAGCATAGCTAGAATTTTTTAAGAACGAGAAAAATAAAAAAAAGAATAACATGCATTTCAGAATGTACAATTAATGACATGAAAAACACTCAAGAGAAAGGATGTTAAGACTTTAAACATGTTGAGATAAACTGAGATTTGAAGGTAGCCTAAAGTTCTCACAAAGGAATGCATCTACAAACGGATGAACCTAAAAATATTTATCAAAAGCAATTTTTCATTCTTACTTAATTTCTGAGTAGTCACCACCCTAGCTTTAGTATTCTTTGTAGCCTCTGCAAATAAAAGTAAGAACAACTTATTTTGTTGAATTAAATAATGTTTAACAATTTTATTCCCTAAATACTTCAAAGTTTATTTACATCTTTTTATTTATTGTAGGGGTATAATTTCACTAGCTAGATAGATAGCTAGATTACTCTCACCTTCTTTCTTTTATAAGGTTGCAGCCGTTTTTTCATTCCATAGACACCTCTATTGATGTGCCATTAGCGAAACAAAAAACATTGTCGATAAATTCATTTGGTCTATGACTTAGTAAAATTAGAGACTTTTATTAGTCCAGTTCGTAATACTTATTTATATCAATGAAAATTTGATAATTTGAATAATGTGAAATTCCGTACTATTGTTGTATAATTAAAAATATATTATGAAAAAGTCACTATGAAATCTACTTAAATTCAGCCAGTATATTTCTGCCAAATTATCCTTAGACTTATTATAGGTTTCACAGGTAATAATAACTGTGTTTGTTGCATTGACACCGAGTTTGCTTCATGGAACGTACACAAAGGGCACGGCTACAATAGTACAATAACAGCGGCACAACCGCAGTCTGCCTTCTCTTTAAATCACAACTACTAATAAATCAATTACAAACATATTACCTGGTTTCCTCTCTACTCTGAAGATTTTAATCCATCATTAATTCATAAGTCCACTGCTGAACGTAGGGTGGAATATTTGCCCTAGTTCACTCCCTTAGCAAGTGGTTTGGCAACACAATTTTTTATTATTTTGAGTTGTTATGAGGGAAATACTGTTGCCTATTCCCAGATTCATTTCCCTATGTCGCCTTTTACGATACTTACCAGATGGTATGGAGTCTAGAGCTTCTAAGTAATAATATATAATTTGGTACGAGGTAGTGATTCATATACATGGCATTATCAAGATCCTGCCTTAACTTCGTGATTTCGAAATATTTTCAACCAAGCAGATAAAACTTTGTTGAATATAGTCGATGGTTTTCCGCTAAGCAAGTAGGAAATCTATATAAATTAAAATCAATTGCCGCTTGTATGAAAGATTATCACTATGACTTGAACAGCTGGACTGATTATGATGAACACACACAGTCACAACTGGACCCAGTAAGTAGTGCTTTTGTTGAGATCTAGAAAACAGTCGTGTAAAGCCAGGGCAGATCGTAAGATAGCATATTTTTTATATTATAAGGGTGACAAACTAGTACACAGTCCACCTGATGGTAGGTGGTTGCTGTGGCCCATAGACATATAAATCTTTACTCTATTATGAATCAAAATGCAGATGCATTGTCACCCATGAGTACTAAAATGGAATGCCTCATTTCCCGTATAATGAGTCTCTGGTTTCTACACTCACCATAAGAAACACAGCAGCATTGAGCTGCTATTTTACACTGGTATTCTGTGAGAGCATGGTTCTTCTCGAGTTTACCCATTCATACTACAACTATACTACTTATACATATACATAGAATTATACAAAACTAGAGGAGCAAACCACATTACCGCGCGTCGAAAAAAGTGTAACCACTGTCCAACCTCGACGACGTAGCTTTGAAATTACTAATATTTTAAATAAACATATATCTGTCTCACTTACACAAGTTGCGAAAACAATACCGTCGCTAAGATTAGATAAAAATAGACACACCATACATGCAATGGCGGGTTGGTATGTCTTACTATATGAAATTTAACCCAAAATAAAATAAAAAGGAGTTTTTTTTAAGCTGCAGTTTATTGTTTTTATTTAAAAAAGTATATTTTCTTATCAGGTGAATAGAAGTTAGCATAACTGATGAAATAAAACATATTTTTATAAGTATTTTTATTGTACTAATAAATGAAACAATATAAAATAGGTAACAAAATATAATTATTATAAAATTTATATAAAAATAAAATTATAATCAATATAAAATTATTAATATAAAATAGGTAATAAAATATATTTAATAGATCATTCATGAATAAACTAAAATAAGAATAATTAATTATTTTGTATGAAAGTTAAAACATAGTTTTTATTATAATTTCCAAAATATTTAAAATCAGAGGTAACAAATTAACTTACTCCATTAATTATATAGTCTCTCGTTAATATGGGATATACACAAAGGCAGAAAAGTGGCAACATTTAACCTAAGTCGCAATATTCGATAATTTTATTTAATTTGAGGTTTTTACATTTATATGAAAACTTGAACTAAAACTTATGTGTGGAAAGTGATTCTGCTTGATTTATTATGTTTTGTAACCTTGAATCGCATTCTTTCACTACGCATTTACTCATTTTTTGTTGCGGATCATTCGGCTCACATTCGGCTCGCTCTGTCGGCGTCACATTGAACACTGAACTAATGTTAGCTAGGCATATGGTTGTGGCCATATGTGCAGTGGCAACGCTTTGGCGCGGTAATTACTAATCTAGTGTAATATATAAATCAATGTACACAAATGTCAATCATCATTCCATTTCTCTAGTATCACATAAGGTTGGCTATAGACATCCATTCTTGATTTCAATTATGTTTACAGTTTCAGAGGTTTCGTTTTCAAATAATTACGATAAACATAAATTTCACTAAAAGTTACAGTATTAAATGCAAATATTTCAATTAGGTAATTTTTCAACACCCATAAAAAAGTTAATGACTTGGACCCAGACAACCAATTTGTGGCTGAAGATATGTCAAGAGGTTTTTCATAAAACAAAATTATAATAATTCACAAAATTTTGCAGTCTGCACTCACTGTAGACTACTGTGGAGGCGAAATGTTAAAAAATATAAAAAGGGCCCATTTAAAGAAATTATGCAAGCAATAAAGCAAGTATATACCCATAAATTATATAATTAAACAAAAAATTACATTGTTTCATTTACCACTATCATAGAGTTTAGGGTAACCTGACTTTATAGATAAGATAGGTTGAATCAGTACTGAAACTGAATTAGCGTGCCTGAACCACACATAGTCTTGTCTGCCCTACCCGTAGTGTTTTTGTAAAGTCGTGGGCGCGGAGAAACAGCAGACACTGCCTGCCATAACAAACCACAGGCACTTTTGTATGCCGTAGCGGCTGAGGATGCTCACCACAACTTTGGCTTACTGGTCACCTTCGGCAACCAGTCTCAGCTACTACGGCTCACACAGGTGCCTGCGATTTGTTACGCAAGGGCTGCACTTCCCGCTGTACAAAAGCCATTGCAGAAGTAATTTTGGGTCAATATTCCTGTGTAAACAAAGTGAGGTTATGATTTCACAAAAAAATAATTACCCATAAACTATACTTGCCCGATAGGAGGAATGGTAGAGGGGACTATAAGCGCAGTAGCCACACAAAATTAAATGCGCCTTAGCTTAATTATTGACATTATAATTTTACATAACATCTAATAATAGTCCCTTTGGGTGTAGATATATTTAGCTGTGTAAGTTAATAAGAAGGCAAAATAACACTTACTCGCTGGTACTTCAACTCTAATCGAAGTTGGAGCTTTTAGTTTGATGATCTTCTTCTTTGGCCCTTTTTTTCCGGTAGTTCCCTCCCCATCTTTATTTAGTTGGTCCACGCGTTTTTTTGGAGCCATCTTTATATTATACAAAAGATGATGATGCCTAATAATATAAACGAACACAATAAAAAAATTGCAACTGTTTATATTCCCTGCTACACATTCGCTTGATGAGTTAGATTTATCCAGTACCCACACGTTACTAATAAAATTAAAAGTCTAAATAATATGTTTATTAAATTTTGTTTATTATTAAATATCAGAATCTCAGAAATATAATCAGTAATGATGTGTAAATTGTAAATAAATTGCAACTTTAGGCAAAATTTACAAGTTACAAAACATGCTTTTGCTTCTTTGCTTGCTGGTATTTATAAATATAAAGAATAAAGATACTCTGTGGCACTCTGTGGTCTGTGCTCTGTGGCTTACTGTCACTAGTACTGGGCGTTTTATTCAGAAACACTTTTAAAAAACAGTTTGTCAAAGAAAAACGAACGGTTTCTCGAAGATTAGATTTAAAAACGAACGAAATGAATACAGTTCTACATAATGATTTCTTATATTTACGCGAACACTACACATTGAAATAATACTAGTTTTTACGGAATTTATCGCGTATATTTAACTTTTTAATACTCGACGTTTCGAACGCTTTCAGTCCCGCCCGTGACCATGAGTGCTGTAAAGCGTTCGAAACGTCGGGTATTAAAAAGTTAAATATACGCAATAAATTCCGTAAAAACTAGTATTATTTCACAGTTCTACATTTCATTCTCGGAACTGTCTCAATCGCAAAACGTTTACAAACTACATGCTCGTTTGGTGGGTTCATAGGTGATCTAGTTTGCTACATATTTATTTATCTATGGTTGGATCTAAGTTAATACTCTATTACTATTGCTTTATGAACTATAGTCGTATAAACACAAAACAGTTATAGTAACTACTTTTGTTTTGACGTTACGATTAAAGCTAAAATAAATTTTATTTATATCTATACACAATTAAAATTTGGTTGTAGACGGTTGAACAAAAACGAACGGACCGAGAAAAAAACGGTACTTTCGGCTTTCTCTTATTTTTTATATAACGGTCAGCCTGGACAAACGTACGTTTTATGTTTTAAAATTTAAATCAGTTTCAATTCTCGTCAAGTAACACTTGTCTACGCTTACTGTGTTAGCTAATTTCGAATTTGCAAAAAAGTGACTGTATGTTTACGCGCGAAAACTTTTATGTGATATATTGTATATATTAATTGTTTAATAGTTTTGTAATATACAGATAAAACCGATTTAATTTGTAAATATCTTTTGTTCTAATATTGTAGATAGTGTAAATAATGAAAACGTGTATATGAAATGAACTTTTAATTACGCTCGTAACATTTATCAGCCAGTCCTAAGCCTGTAAAAAGTATGAAGGGAAGTTCGCTTTATTATTTTGTAAGCAAACATATGGTGAAGTCGTTATGTACACTGGCGGGATTTTTTTGAAAAAACTGTTTTTTTTAAACTGTTTCTCAGAACTGTTTCTCATTTCAAAAATTTCGGTTTCGTTTCGTTTTACAAAAAACCTGGAACGACCCAGTACTAACTGTCACCCTGTCACCCTTTCACCAAAGATATTGTGGATCGTAGACAAAGAATCCTACTCTGTCTACCATGAAGGTTAGAGAACAGGAGAACAATCGCCTTAGAAAATAGTGTCCCAGAAATATGGACAACATGAAGGTTAGAGAACAGGAGAACGATGGCCGTAGAAAATAGTGTCCCAAAAATATGGACACCATACGTAGACAGAGAACCCTATAGACTATAAATTATTTTTTATAATGATTAGCGTGGCCTCGAGTGAGAAAGGACGATAATAATGTTGGTTAATGTAGCGCATAGCACCATATTATAGCGCGCTATCTCTTCATAACACATAGCGCGTGTTATGTAAGTAGTCGCTATGGCGCTATTGCGCTATGGCGCTTTGGCGCTATCAAGTATTAATATCTAGCGGTAATTTTTTCCGCGGAAAAAAGTAGCCTATGTCACTCTACAGCCTCATTCCCGTGGGAAAATAGAATATGTTGCAAAATTTTGTCCTTCTTTCACGTCGTAACAGAGCTTCGGCATGGCATGAATTTTTGTATGGGGATAGTTCGGTGACTGTAGAGTGACATAGGCTACTTTTTTCGGCGGAAAACATATCATTCCTGTGGGAAAATCGAATATGTTGCAAAATTAAATTCAGCTAGGTGGCGCCACCGTGATTCTACAAGATGGACGACGGTACGACGGACGAATACAGATGGTCATAATATCTGGATTATTATGTCTTTTTACCAAAATTAATATAAAAAATGTATGGATCTGTATTTTCCACGCAGGACTGGGAAGAGAGCGATAAAAAACATAAAATTCTCTAGCTGGTTTTCTTCAAACGTTTTGGTGCATTGTAATTCACAGAATAAGCGATAACAGACGATATTAAGTAATCCGTTGATGCTCTGCCTACCCCGCAAGGGTTACAGGCGTGATTATAAGTATGGATCAGAAATACTATCACCAGCTGTCACGCTTTCACCCTTAACTTTTACTTAACTGTGGTAGAAACAGTTCTTATATGTGGTTATGAATGAATCGGTATTACAATAAGAAAAATTTTGCAAAATTATAAGAAAAATATTTTTTGAGAGTTCTTATTAACTAACGTATACATAGTTTAAATTGATTCCGCTAGATGTCGTTACTAGGTTTTTAAAACGGTGCAACGAAATGTTTCCTGACATGTACTAAACTCCCGCCGTTGAGCCGCGCGTCAACTTATAGTGCATACGGTACCTATATGCTTAAATTGTTTCTATTTCGTAGCGTATTCGACTACCTAATTACGTTAGCTGCGGCCGGAGGTTCGAAAAAAAACCAAATTTACTTATAAAATATATTTAAAATAAAATTACAAATTATGTTACTATAGCTAATTAATCTAACAGAATGAACCTGGTGTAAATGAGTACGTGATATTTTATACATCCGGCACGTGGCTTGAATTGCTGCGCCTGCATTCCTGTCGGTTTACATAGCAACTGTTCTAGGTACATAGTCAGCGATCTTCATATCATAGGTATATGTAACTCCTCCACCCTCAGAACGGCAACTATTTGAGTATGTTCAGGGAAAATGTTGCCGGAATTTCGGAGTTTCCATGATCTTCTGAATTAGGTGTTGTGATTGCGCTGCTTTGCTCGTTTCCTTTCTGCATCTTAATATGTAGTGACGGGTGGCCAGTACAAAGATAAGGATACCTCCACTCGATAATATGATGTAAAAGAGAATTGTCGTATGATATAATATGTCACTTATGGCACGTAGTTGTACTGGTTATTGCATGAGAATTTTGTCTTGGATGCTGTGTAATCCTTGGAGATGGATTGAGTTTAGGTGGATGCGGGTAGATGATGTAGCTTGTTCCGGAGATCTGAAAGGTAGTCCAGTGAGCTTTAGAGGTTGACCTTTTATCTCATTATTGTCGTTGACGATGGTGAACTCGGCAGTTTTAAGAAGACAGCTGGCTGGAATCGTAATGAGATAATTCCCTTGTAGCACGGTGAATTATTTTCTTCAGCAAGACAATTGTACCTTGGTACAGTGTGGAAAGGACAGGATATAATGCTGGTCATCTAGTTTTTCCATCGCTTCTTTTGACAGGATGATAGTAGTAAGATTGCAGGCTTTCTGTATGAGTTGCTTGGTGATCAACTCTTGGATGCAATCGGGTTGTGTTCGAATCTGATAGGTAGTGCGTTCTTCACAGAGATACCAGTGGTTAAACTTCGGACATTCTGTCTCAATGTACACGAATGATAACTCGTTAGTTGCTACGTAGGGATAGGTTGGGATAAGGGCCTGTAAATTTTTATTTGGGACAATGGATAATCTATATAAATCAAAATTATCTCTAGAAGTTATAGGAAATTTAAAGATGAACACGATTTGTTTCTCTGTGTAATATGAGCCGAGTTTTATTATGTCATAATAGTCTCTGAGTTCTAAATTTAATACCTTATCTGAGCTGTAAATACTTCTAAGCTTACTTAACATGGAACCTAATACATCTATATCTATCGTAGAATGGTGCGTGCTAAATGCACGAATAAAAGCTAAAGTGTTTTCTATTCTAATTAATTCTAGAATTAAGTCCTCTACATTATCACTAATTATTTCTAACAATTGCGCGAATTTAGCGTATTTAATTAAACTAGTTTGCCTATATGCATTACTATTTAATATAAGTATCAAAGTCTCATTAAATTTTCTTTGATTTTCCGCTATCTCAATAATTGCATTACTATGCTTAGACATCCATTCTTTACTTAAGCTGAGATGTTGATCGAATTCGGATGCAACGCTCAGTTGATTATCCTTAAGGGTTTTAATTGACTCGTTATATCTTAACGCGTCTGTATAATCTAAGTTACCAGTTATGCTTTTTATGACTGAACCAAGACTATCTATAAGACCTCTTTTAGCTCTATTGGGCTCTAGGGTTCTGAGATGACTTAACACCTTGCCAAGTTTGTTAGACGGATAATCAATTTGGATTTCGTATAGTAAATAAGTATCTTTAGTCAGTCGGTTTTGGAAAGTCAGTAGTTGATTATGTAGGGAGTGGATATTACCTTCAATGTCATCGAGTCGTACGTACTGTAAAAAATGTATGGTAATGAGTAGTCAATTTCGTGGGTCCTAGTTTATACGGTAGTAGTCCTGATTCATCTGATAGACTTTCAAGTTTTATCTCTGTCGTCTGGGTCCTTTGAAGGAACATTATTAGCAGTATCCTGCAACAAATTAACTGCTTTAGGAACACGCTTGAGCCGTGATTTTGCTACTGGACCACGTTTTTAGATGTATATATATATAAATAAAAAAAAAAAAAAAAAAAATATATCACCATCATCATCATCATCATCACAGCCCTTCACAAGTCCACTGCTGAACATAGGCCTCCCCCAAGTAATGCCACAAAGCACGGTCCTGAGCCACCTGCATCCATCGACTTCCTGCATATCTTACCAG